GAACACGGCTAATACTACTGTCTTATCTATGTCACTAATGTTCCTCGCTAATGCACTGAAAAACTTTTGAAATGGTCTTGTGTCCACAATTTCTATGCAAAAATTCTCAAGGAATTGCATACCAAATTATATTGACAACATAAACAGGCCGTTAGCAGCTAGTGCAAGATAATTGATAGAGAACAGACAGGACAATTTCCGGTCCGGTCTGGTTTTGAACTCATGACCCTCAAATTTCGGACCCATCGCGTTACCGCCTTCGGAAACAGATGCTGGTTTTGTATCGTGCGCATGCTGACGGTTGATGGATTTGCAGGTTATGTGAGGCTGGCAACCAGTGACGCACTCGCGGATCACTAAATTTTCTACTAGATCCGGCGTCATATCGGCTAGATCGATGGGCTACTGCAGATTTCCTCAACAATACGGCCTCATAAGAAAATTTGATGCAATGCAATCTAAGAAATTAGTGTATGCTGTAAGATGTTGATTGTCTTTTTCTATTAAAATATTTAACAAAGGACAACCGGATGAATTTATTATATATTTCTTTTGTACGCCAAACATTTCAATAGCGCTAAATTTTATACCTCTACAAAATCATTGTTGTCATGGTTACGGTCGGGTATAAAACCCGGCATATGACGCAGACACGCAAGTTCTCCGAAACGGATGGTCCGATCGCCTTGAAACCTTTACGAATCGATTCCGCGAAATAAGGTGAGTTATGGGGAGGCAATATCGAGACCTGGCCTAAGATTAATAACTTCGAAAATGAGAAGGGAAAATTTTACATGCATATGCACACAACTCCCAGTTCAACACACTACAGATCCCAGTTCCTACGCGCTCGCAGCCCTCCCCTGCCGCCAACCTGAGCACGTTCCTGACCGAGCGCGGCACGCGATGCCCTTGACGTCGACCGCGGCTGCATGACCTATATAGCGCCGAATATGGCACGCGCGGTGGCGGGAGTGCCGTCTGTAGGCCGCAACAGCGCCACCTCTCGCTGCACTACCGGGCTGTTGACTGCGCCCAGGGTTGGCTGTCTGTGAGTGTGCCGTGCGACAGGACGGCGACGCCTGGCTGTGCTGTTATGAGACGCCATGGCCCTGTGATTTTTTGTTCTGCTGAGGCCAGGGATTCAGCCAGGTCCATCGGGTTCAACCTGCGCGGCGTAAAACTTTAACAGACCCCGGCAGCAGCGGGCAAAAATAGCGCATGCCTGAGATATTTCTTTGTGTCGGTGGAATTCTCGCGCTGTACGGTAAATAGCACTGGTCTCCGTCAGCGGTAGATGTCATAGGACGGAGTGGCGTTTGGGGTACGTTGTAAACGTGAGCTGCCCATTCAAAAACCCGTGCCTTAAATCCTAACAGCCAGGTTTATCCATGTACTAAAAAACCACGCGTTTCTTGCAGTTAGATGCCATCATGACCTCGCCATTACAGCGGGAATGGGGTGCACCCAGTGACCTGCGCAATTTCCTGTGTGTTTCGTTGCACAATGACAGTAGGGTCCGTCATCGAAAAACTGGAAATAAAGTGGCGTTCAGTCTCGTCTGGCCGTGTTGGGGGCCGAGCCGGGCGTTCCCGGCCTTCTCTTTGCTCGGCCTCGGGTGCGGCGGCCCAACGGCTGCACAAAAAGAGTTCGCAGGCGCCTCTCTCCCCGAACCGGAGGACCTGCAGGTTACGGGACATATAAGGCTAAGTTCGTGCCTCCATAAGGCTCGTAGTCCGGGCCAAATCGCCAGTTCGCCTGCCGGAGCCACGGCCGTTTCCTCGATCCTTCCCCCTCCTCGCCCGATCCATCACGGGGTGGCGTCTGTTGGTGACTAGGACGAGGTCTCAACGCAGCAGCCGCCGCGAGGGTACCACCACACGGTTCCGGAGCGCACCGCTGTCCTCTGTGTTAGCATCTTTCTGGCTATACACATATCAAAGGCACAACTTTCTATCACTTTGCGCTGTTTGACAAAGTTTACACGTGTTGGCGTCGGTAGATGAACACGTGTACACAACAGCTGATTACTCACATTACCTCACGACCACTCTAGAAAACTCAAGTGTCGACCTGTCCCTTTTAGAACTATATTGCTTGATCCGGCTGGCGTCGAGTTGAACTAGAAATTTGAAGCAGACCTCACCGACCGCGAGAACCGCTGGACGCAGCAGCCTGCATTTCTGGGAGACCAAACGGAGATCGTGGGCGGCACCCGTGGGTGTCAGTTTCTCACAACTTTTGCGAGGGGGGGGGGGGCAGAGTCGCTGAAGTTGATCGACGGTCAAAAACCGAATACCATTTCCTCCAAAACATCTAATAGTCTTCCATCTAAATTTTTTATTTGCCTATAAAATCGACAGCGTACTGAAAACTCTAGTGTCAAAAAACATTGATAGGGTAAATGGAAATATGCTCACGTTGCAGATATCTTACAAAATCGCACAGCTAGATGCTGTATGAAAAACAACCAAGCAAAGACAGATGTTGAAGCGCATCAACGTTGTATGCCTACAGAAAACCCTGCCCAGCGAAGATTGCAGACTGCGCTCTGTATCACACACTGGTGTAACAAAATCTTTGTCTTGACACTTTACAATGCACCTCACGGAAGAGGCACCAAAAGAACACACGCAAGAGACGCTTAGTCGAGCGACTAAGCGAAGGAGCGCTCCGTCGCTTAGCGAAGCAAGACCACAAGTACTTGCATCACCCAATTGTCAGCATTACTCATAATTATTGTCAGTATAAGAACTGCAAACTTCTAACGCCAAAAAAGTGACTTTAGCGCCCTTTAGCGCGTACCAAGCATTCTAGCGTACTTTCTAGCCTACTACACTTTACTCAGCCCAACTTAAGCACGCTTAGCGGCAGACACACGAGGAAAAGGGTGTAATGAACGTCAAAGACACCCGTGTTCTTGCTTTATTTGTTAGCACGATAAGACGATAAGTACCGTGTGACATTCCAAGCACAATCATAGACCGTTCCAGGCTATTAGATAACATAAGAAACACCAGCCGAGCATTTTCGAGCATACGTGTCATCTTTCGCCGGCTATTGTACAGAATGTCTGTCCCTACAAAACTTAGCGGGAATGCTTCACCTGATGTCCAAGAATGTGTATCATCTGGCAGTTCCAGCGAAAAGCACACATGTAGTTGAGACACTCCGTTTACAAGGAGACTGACCTGTAAACAGCAGCAATTGTAAACAACCCTTCGGACACACAACAGCCACGCGCCATGCATAAGAAACAGACGACAAACTCTTGCACTGACGTATGACACCAGTCATTGTTCTCGCCATGACTGGGGCCCGTGATAAGATCTATCTATCGCTACGAGCAATCCACACCAGCACTGCTGACACAGGACTGCTGTAGGGGTGTACCGCTCAGTCATACCAGTCGCCCAGTAACAACGTGCCACCATATGACATCCTCTGCGCACGCGCGCTGACCATGCTCCAGCCTTCGGGATCTTCAGCATGGCAGTCGCGTTGAAGGCGGCGACTGTCGTGCCATGCCATGCCATGCGGGCGCATCACTTGGTGGCCACCCCGTACAGGACCGGGTTGTCGGGGTGGATGCCTGGGTTGGGCGTGGAGCGCGGCTTCATCTCGTTCCCGATTATCAATACCGAGTGGTGGTCCAATGCGCTGAAGCTGCTCGCCAGCAGCGCCTGTCGACAGGACGCCACGCTGGTGACGTGCCCAACACATGGGACAGTGGCGGAGCGACTGTGAACTGCATCCCCGACAAGCGCTGGCTGTCCTCTCCCAAAACAGCCACCGGCACCATGCGCTCGGCCCGTTGATGCGCGCCAGTGAGCTCGGCAAGACTTGCCTACTTTTCGTCCCGTTTTTGTTTCCTCTGAAGATGAGAATGCACAAACGGTCTCTTCTCGATATGCTCCACCTCAGAATCATTACCTCATCAGCTTCACACTGGCTGACAAGTCTCATCATGGCTCACCAGACCATCATGGCTGACAGCCCCCATCATGACTACCAAGGCCCATAACGACTGGACAAGCCTCACCATGACTATCAAGGCTCAACGGGACGGACAAACCCCATCATGACTGAAGAGCGCTATCATGACTAACAAACCCCACCATGGCTAATAAGCCTCATCATAGCTCACCAGCCCCATCATCTTCTCACCCACCATCATCCATTCGCCGGCCTTGATCGGGGATCCTTTGCCACAAAACATCCCCTGTCCGTCCTTGACCGCCGACCTCAGCCCCTCCCCCCCCCCGCCCCCCCCCCCTCCCAGTGCCCCATTGTCCCAGCACCATCTCACCGTTTCGAGATCAGGGTTGAACATACAGCCGTAGAACACCAGGGGCCAAATACCGGTGTCGGCGAGTACGTCCTGAAGGCGCCGCCGCCACGTGCCCGGCTTGTCTCTGACGTGCTCTACGAAGTAGTATTTACCACCCTGCGGCAAATGGCGCGAACATGGGTTGAAAAGAGAGCATTACCAGGGAGCAGCCGAGTCTAGGCTGCGGGAAGCGTCCGCCACAACTGAGCTGTGAGAGTACGGTGAGCTAGAACCGCTTTTGAACGAGGGTGGGAGTGAACAAATTTCGTCGCAAAAAGACCGCGTGAGAGAGAAACATTCAACGTGGCCCATGAGTTCCACAAAAGATGGAACTCCTGCCTGACATGGTCTAATCGCACATGCCAAGCCCCTGTTTCCCTTTGTGAGATTTTCAAATATCATCCAAAACCGAGCTCACTTGAAGTCACCAAGCATAAATGAGGCTCCACAGAACCTGGACACCTATGGCTATGTCCTGCCTCACCTACATCGGAATCAAGCCTATGTATGCGCAGAGCAAGGGTGCCAGGTACCTCCAAGCCCAAGAACCCCAGCGACCGCAGCCGCTTGCACGCATTAAGTTTGGTTTGTTTACAAAACGCATCACGATCTGCAGCTGTGTGCCAAATGCAAAATTTTCACCCATCCCATTTGTATTTTTATTTTTTGGTCTCACCACCACATCACGAAAGCAGAGCCTGGTGCAAACACCAGCAAGGCCTGGTAGAGAATTTTACTCCACGTATTTCTTTTTTTCCCGAGGAAACTTGACCACTAAATTGCATCACTCCCGAAATGCAGGAGTGAAAAGTTCAAGAAATGTCTTCTAAATTAAATTTACAAGATGAATATCATCATGTGAGCATTTATGTTCACAGATTTTAAGTCAAATCAGCTGAAAACAAAATTTTGCTTTAAAAGTACCAGTCTTTATATTTCTTTAGCTACTTTTGCTTTTCTTGGCATCATACGAGTGTGATACCACTTCATTCTTCCTTCCTTTTGGATTGCCTTTAGAGATACCATCTGCCGCTTAAAATGTTGACCAATTTCTCTGCAAGATGCTCCAACTGCAAATTTGTACGTACTTCATACATAAATGTGATTAATTCGCCAGCCGCCCAAACATGTTTGACGTGCACCCAAGCGTGAACAATTCACAGGGAATGAAGGAGACGATTTGAAGCACGGAACTTATTTTTACTGCCATTTTTGCCCCGTTATGCCCTAGGCTAACGATTTTCTTGGTTCATGCGGTGCTCAGTAATGACAAATCTAGATCTTTCGAGTGTCTAATTCACCAGGCTACCTGGCAAGGCTATCGTATGCTGCCATATCCAGCCTTGGGACAGACCTGACACAGCTAATACAGAAGTTTTGATGACGAAATTCTGCCCTCTAGATATGTTAATCACGCACACCGCTTACTTGTCTTGCATTTTAATTTCGTAGGTTGGTGGGAATGATTGATATTCATATTTAGGGGGTGAGTGGGATGACTCAGTCTGCCAGCAGACCATACAAAAGGTACTGACTTTTTGTTGTGGGGGAGCAGGAAGAAGCCAGTAAGTCTCCTGTGGGCCAAGTAATTGCTTGCCTCACCTGCTGTTAATACATGACTGGTAACCAGTTAGCCATTTTCTGTTTTAATCCATCGAGTTTTGTCATAAGACAAATTATGATGCTGCAAGGCATGCAATGGGCTTATTTTGTTCCATATTCTTGGTTATTTGCCCCAAATTTCTGAAAGTGGTTCCCCATGGCTGCTCTGACCAGATGTTTTCTATCGGTGTCATGGTTTACTGACCGGCAAATGACTGTACTGTACATGTGCATTATATTTCTAACACAGGGATACCTAAGCTGCATAGCAATTATAATATGACTTCAATATTAGTATGTAACAAATATTCAGACCATCCCATTTGAAATGTGAAGCCCACTTCTCAAACTTTGTCATTAAATATGAATAAACAAGCCTAAATGGATGCCTTTGCTGCAGCTGAAAAGGCAAGCAGCAATACTGGCATGGTCATCTAAAAGTTATGCTACTTTTGGAGAAGAGAGATTGTTTTGTGGAACGTACCCATTATTGCCCTTGACGTAGGGTAACCATGACAATCAAAATAAGTTGTTCAAAGTGACTTAAAGTGTTTTGATTTGTGTGTTGTCATTTTTGTCTGATGGCAACAAGCATACACAAATGAACTGAATAAAAATGCAAGTTGAAACCAGCTAAAACTTAGCTTTATCGTGTTTTTATCACAAGTGCTGCTGTAGACAGATAGGTGAGTTTAGATGATGTTCAACATATGGGCTACTCTAAGTTAGGTTTGGTTGGTTAAGTGCATGGCAAGTGGCAATAGAAATTGTGCAGGAATCAGTAACTCACAACTGCTGCTGTGATACAAACAGGTTAGACAGGATGACATGAAGTAAGGGCACTTTATGTTAGTCATGGGCTACTTTCATGGAAATAAGCATACATATTTTGTACGAAAAAGTGGCAAACTATTTGTTTTCCCTGACCACATGTCTCATAGAAGCCAGAGGTATGTCTATTGTGTTTGGCTTGGTAATGGGCTGATGTGTAGGAGTCCAAGGGTTTTGTGTTTGAGTGTTTTATGCTTGTTGAATTTTCTGTTGTCATTTTGTTATTGAATTCATTTGCTTTGTTTTGTTTCAAAAGTGCTGTGGAAGGAAGTGAAAAGTGCAGCATCAAATCATTGGTGTTAATAATTTTGTTTGCTCTTAATACTGTCTTGACACTATTGTGCTTTAACACGCGCCCGGCTGGCCGTTTAGATACCCTTCGCTCGGTTGGGGGGGGGGGGGCGGAAAGGGGGTAATTTGACCCCCTGAAATCTCGGGAACTAAGAGAGCTAGAGACGCCAAACTTATAGGGTGTCTTGCCCTATACGTGAACTCACCTAGGTTTAGGTTTCAGCTTCCTAGGTCATGACCTTCAGGTCTAATAAGGTCAAACAATGTCAAGTTTCAGGTTTGCCTTCAAAGCGCCCCCAGAACGTAGGCAACAGTCTCTAAGCAAAAGGTCACAAGCCCATTTGAGGTCACTGACCTTGTTTGGCCTTTTGAAGGTCATGGGGACCAAAATTATACAAGACTGCTCTGAGTTTTGCATTTGAATAAGCGACAAATATTACGCTAGGCAGTATGTTCCTAAAACACAAAATTCGACCCGGGTCATCTTAGGTCAGTGACCTGTTCTGACCTCTAAGAAGTCAATTGAAGATGTATCATGCGGTTCTTGCTGTCAATAAATTCGAAATGAACACCAGAAACTATCGCATACAAGATGTTAAAAAACAAAATAGTTTTGCCAGGTTCCTGATATTACTTCCATGCCAACTTGAAATACATGTCTTTGTTTGCTGAAGCATCAGTCACGAGCTCATTATTTCCATCTTTTGTGAATTGTTATTTTCAATCCCAGACGGTCTTTTTGCCATGGACTTTTTCACTGCCACCCCAGTTCAAAAGCGATTCTAGCTCTCTGGCTAACACAAATGACCCAATCGCCACCAAAGCCCTGCAGCCCGACGCGTTACACGCGGTCCCTGTACTAACCGGCACGAGGACGCGGTGGATCTCGCGTATCATCTGGTCGACGTGTCGAACGCAGCAGAGCACCAGCGTGGTGACGACGACGTCCACGGAGTTGTCGGCCACCGACGGCATGCACTCGCCGCGCTCCGTCACAAACCGGATGTCCGGGTCCAGGTGCGCCGCCTTCCGCTTGCACTCGCGCCGGAAGTAGATCTCGAACTCCTTGTTTGGATCGACACAGAGCAGCCGCGAGTCGGCTGGGTAGTACTCGAGGTTGGTGCCGGAGCCGACGCCCACCTGCCGTGGGGTAACAGTGAGGGGGAGGGGAGGGCCGTCGACAGAAGGGGCCGCCCGATGCGCAGCCGCTGCCGGCATTGAGCCGTGACTGCCGCCCACCGACTTTGACATGGCTGTTCACATGAGTACCGTTTTGAGTTGAATGATACTCGGCAAGCGATTTGTGCACACGCACGGTGGGTATGATCTTAAGATAATGAGAGATGGCATACCTCCAGAATGTTCAGCGCATTTTTCTTTTGCAGCTCCGGATCCGCGGACTTCAACTCCTCAAGACTGGCAAAAACCTCTTTCTTGGGGCTTTCATAAAACTTCTTCAGGCTATCCTTCATGATGAAGTACATAAGCGTGGCACCAATCATATTATCGAACTGTTGGGCACGACCACGTCCAAGAGCTGTTCTCTTCACGATGTTGACCAATGTATACCACCCCAATGTGAGGACTATGATATTGAGGAAAAAATCTAGCCACTCCCACATCTTTACTGGGCAAGATCTGAAACAGGGCGCGGTTTTATGGCAAACACGTGTCAATGCAAAACATCAGAGACCAATAATCCACCTATGTACTTGTCTACACACTCGTAAGTTAATTTCTCTATCAGTGATGCGCTAAATTGTGCGAACGGTAGATCAATGTCAACGCTGTTTGTTGGAAGGTAATCTTCCGACATTGTCAGCGTGGCTGGGTATCTCCCAAAGCGTAGAGAACGGAATCAATAGTTTTTTTGGGTGTGACAAAATTCATATCCAGTCTCTCCGCCCCGAGCGGTCACTCACGAAATTCCCTTAGAGCCACAGGCCATCTTTTCGAGGGATGTATATGACTTATTCGTTAAGCCACTTCTCTTTTGTGTGACACATATCTTAAAGCCAACCAGCCTTCAACGTACCATGAGACACTCGTGACCAATTTGTCAATCACTGACAAATATTAGGTATGCAATCACTTTTGCACTTGACGTTTTCAGCGGTGTACATGGTCACGCACCAGTCACTCGTGGTGGTGTGGTGGTGGGCATTGCTTGAAACGCAGTGCTCCGACGGGGTGGATGCACCTTTTGCAATATGCCATGCAACTTAGACAGTTTTAGAATTCACTGATGATGGGCTTTTTTAGCTTAGCAAAACCATGCGTCGCCTTATTTGGGTCTCATTCGCCTTCTCCACAAGCTGGCAGGATGTTACAACAATTTTGACAGTTTTAACGCTTTTCTCTCGGTGATCCTCAGCCGCCAAAAAATGCATTACTCTTCAGTCGACTTCTTTGTCGTATGTCACACTCACACTCGTTGGTGAGGCTTACGTAATCCGCAATACAAATACTGTTGCCCCAAAGCCCCCACCTCGTTAAACCCTACTTCACCCTTCATGTGCGTGCATTTAAATCACGGTGATACAAATATGTAAGACAGTACCAGTAGCCCCATAGCTGGTAAAACATTGCGAATAGAAAGACTGATATAATGATTTTTAGGCTACATGCCTTTATCAAAACGAACATCAGCATGAAAGTTAAGATTGCCTGCCGGTCCTACCCGAATTTTCAGGCCGCTTTTGAAACAGTGACCTGTTAAGACGGTGGCCAGCTGCTAACAAAACAACTGAAAAATCGAGTAGGATTGGCGAGCCGTTTTTAAATTTTCTACTGATAATCGCTTCGATAAAGGCATATTGTTTAAATATCAATGCATCCATCTCTCCACTCTCCTGGGTATTTTGCGAAGGATAAGGTTATTAGTGCTGTCTTATTCATACGCATTATGTTCCTCACAGACTCAAGAACTTACATAGTTAGGCATTAAAGTACCGAGTTAGGTACATGCGCTTGCATTACATCCATGCACCTGGTCTTTCGATGATCATATATGCACATACGTACCTATTATGTCTGACCTGTCATGATGCGCGCATTAATGTTTTCTCAAATAAAACAATCTGAACATATTGTCCGAAATCCGAAATCTCTTGGTTACATTTGGGGGAGGGGCACCAACTTTGACTGGGTAAATCCTTCTCTTAATGAAATCCTAGACTATATCAAGGTTACAGTCTGGCGCAATGAAACTTACAGTCCGTGTAGCTTGTATATGGGGCCGATGCCCCCACCAGCAGCACACCAGTCCGGTTCAGTAGAAACATGCTCACGTACCTGCACACGGCTTTCCAGGGGACGTGCGACGCACAATGCTCAGAAATTCCGCTGGAGGCGCGTGTGACCAACCCCCGATGTCAGTAAGGAATGTTCGCGAAGCGTCTAAAAGCCAATAGCAACGCGCAAAACAGATGCAGAGAACGAGTTATCAACCGCCCAACGTGCGCTGCGATTGGTTGATGCAGGAGAGGCGGCGGCTTGCGACTCACGCATACGCAGTACCAGCAGTCACAAAGGTGGCGCCAGCTCTCAAGGACGCTCAAACATGCCAAGAACCTAAATTAACCTAGGGCTATCTAGAATGTGTGCGAGATGCCCTGACGTTCGTTGAACGAGCAGAAGTGGATGGAGAGAGGTGGGCGTCCCCCTACTAGGCCCTGACTGTGGCAAGCACGTGACTAAATTTCGCCATGCTCAAAGTAACCGTCGGGCCACATAGCACATATCTGCGACTTGATGCGAGTTGAAGTAGGAAACCAAACTCGGGTCACGTGGACTTGGATCACGTATGTCATGGCTCCCAAAAGTTGGCCCAATGTCATGTGACATCTGTTTGCAGCTGCTGCGATTGCAGAACGTACCAATATTCATGGACAATTAGCAGGTGATTTGACATCAAGAATCGACTGGCGATGGACTCCAATGAAAACAAAACACTGCCCCTCACCGAAAGATATAGAATGAATGACAATTGGAGCACACTGGCGCCCTTAGGCGACTTCATACATGAAGAACAGCATCACGTTTTCCCAAATTTCTTCATAGATACTTTTTTTGTTATGGCTTAGAGAAGGGCCAACATTCATCCTAAAAAAGCAAACAAACTTTAAATGCTGGGACAGCAAACATAGGAGTATCGTAACACGCGCTCGGGTGGGGGTCAAATTGACCCCCCAAAATCTTTTTTCGGAATGGTTTCTGAACGGCGCGGCTAGTCGCGCCAGATCTTGTTTAGCTGTAGACAATTGAATGACGGATCGTTCGGTGTCAAAAGCTTAGATGTACCTAGTGAGGTCGCTGACCTATGGCAGGTCAGTCAGGCCATGGATTCAGCGAAACTAATTTCTGGAGAATCGTTCAATGTGATCCAACAACGGAGCGTTAGACGAAGCCATTGATGATACCTAAGATGCTTTCTTAGGCCACACAACCGTTGAATACAAAGATTACATTGACCTAGGGTCAGGTATGAAGGTCAGACCAAGGTCAAAACAGAACTGTTTTATTACTCCAGGGCTTGCTGTATGGAGTAGTTTCTGGTGCTCATTTCAAATTTATTGATGACACAAACCGCATTTTATATCTGCCATGGACGTCGTGAGTTTCAAAACAGGTATCTGACCTAAAACGACCTAGGTCAACATTTTGTTTTTAGGAACATGCTGCCTAGCGGAATGTTCACCACTTATTCAAATGCAAAACTCAAAGCAGCCTGGAGACGTTAAGTATTCTTTTCAGTCGAGGTGAGGAAGGAAAACGCCTCCTGACCAGGGATTAAGTTTCATTTTTTGGTTATAATTTTATCCATTATTTTTCATCATTGACAGTGTTTAGGGTTCAGCCCCCAAAAAACTAATTTTGAGAAACTACGCCAATGCTAATAACTGTGAAAGGGAAGGGCGTGAAGTCTGGGAAGAAAACTTATTTAAATGCATTTCAGAGGCAGCCTCAGCCATTTTTCTTCCTGCATCTTGCTCCCGCTCCCTACCTAAGCACTTCACGTATTGCAAAACTGCATCCCTGTAGTTCTACATTTACCGATAAAATAATTATACAAGCACCTGAAAACAATATCACTTTTGGCTTTGTGACGTCATCGTACAATCAGCTGGAGGCGTTGGCTACCTTCATTATCTTCGCATAATCGTTACTCGTGCGGAACACGCCTTTCCTAACATCATCCCAGCTCATGGGAGCAAAACCCATGTGATACTGGTATCGACAAATGCAAACAACATTCTTGAACATCTTTAAAACACCGTCGTTCAGCTTTATATGCAGCATGATGAGAATTAAAAGCGTTTTATCTCACGCGTCCCCATCGATCAGTGTGCTAAGCCTGAGGTGCAACAGGCAATATGAGAGGCCTTAAGCAGCGATGCTCGGCTTCTTTCTTCAAAGGAGCTGTTTCTATCAGCAGCGGGAAGCAGGAGGCATTATTCCGTGCTCTGTGTAGTAATAGTTCATAAAACACGCGATGCCCGTGAAGTTGGCGATTTATTCAGCGATCTTGTTCAGCGACAAGTTCCGATTTCTCTGAAAAGGGTCTTTAACTAAATTGCAGCATGAGAACACCAAAAATTGCCCTTATTTTGCAATGTCTTGTGACCTTCAAGGTCAAAAGCTGGATCATAGGACAGGGAACTCGATATTACCCAAAAACTACCTGCCGATTTGAAAACTGTGAACATCAAAATATTCACAACCGCAAGAGCTAGAGTCCGTCAAAAAGTTTTGACCGCTCGAGGTCACCCTTCAAGGTCAAACGCGGGCTCACGGGACGGGGAACTTCATATCACTGAAAAATTACCGGCCGATTTTAAACTTTCAAGCATCGGAATATTCACCACAAAAATCACTCGCATCCGTCAAAGAGTCCTGATCTCTCAGGGTCACTCTTCAGGGTCAAAGACGGGTTCAAGAGACGGGGAACTCCACAGCACCCAAAAATCACCGGCCGACTTTTAACTTATAAACATCAGGATATTCACCACAGAATGAACTCTCGTCCATTCAAAAAGTCCAGATCTCTCAAGGTTACCATTCAAGGTCAAACGCGGGCTCAAAAGACGGGGAACTCGACATGACTCAAAAATTACCGGCCAATTTGAACTTGCATGCATCATGATATTCACCACAGCAAGATGTAGCGTCCGTCAAAAAGTCCTTGACCTGTAAGGGTGACCTTGAGAGGTCAGGACTTTTTGACGGACGCTTGCTCTTTCTTTAGTGAATATTTTGAAAGTTAAAAATCGGTCGGTAATTTCTTGGTGATGTGGAGTACTTCGTCCTTTGAGCCCACGTTTGACTTTAAAGAATGTCAATGAGAGGTCAGGACTTTTTGACGGACGCTAGCTCTTTCTGTGGTAAATATTTTAATACTTGTAAGTTGAAAATCGGCCAATAATTTTTGGGAGATATGGAGTTCCCCGTCCTTTGAGACCACGTTTTTGAATGGTGATCTTGAGAGGTCAGAACGTTTTGACAGACGCTTGCTCTTTTTGTGGTTCATATTCTGATCTTTGTAAGTTAAAAATCGCCCGGTAATTTTTGCATGATATGGAGCTCCCTGCCCTTTGAGCCCACGTTTGGTCTTGAAGGGTGACCTTGAGAGGCCAGAACTTTATGAGGGTCGCTAGCTCTTGCGCTTGTGAATATGTTGATGCTCACATTGCAAATCGGCCGGTAATTTTGGGGTGATACCGAGTTCCCCGTCCTTTGACCCTACTTTTGACCTTGAAGGTCACATGACATTGCAAAATAATGGTCATTTTTGGTGTTCCCATACCACAATTGACATTGGGGCCCTTTTTCAAAGAAATCGGATCTCGTCACTGAAAAAAATCACTGAATAAATCGCTAACTTCGCGAACATTTCCGTAAAACCGAACGGCATTGGCCACTGCAAGCATCACCGGGCGGCGGGCGCCATGTGCCCAGGAACAACCATGGTAAAACAATGTTTCTGAATGTCTCCCACACTTAATTTGTACACTTGAAAGATTAGACTGGGTGAGTCTCTTTAAGTGTTTTAGGTTTTCCTCTGGGCAGACGATCAGTTAAAACAACGTGAAACAAAAATAATTTACCTTTACTCTTCCAGTTCTACAGCAAGATTCCAGTACTACTTCGTGGTGCTGTTATGGCCAATCCGTTAGTATCATCGAGATACAAATTGCACAGGTAAAATGTACGCCCGAAATATCTTCTAGATGTACGATGTTAAGTGCTAAAGCAGTTGAATGTGCCTGTTCGGATCCGCCATCATTTCCATTCACCTGCTAGACACCGCTTGGTGTTAGCCGCGAGGCTAACGTTGTGCGGCCTACGGAGACTGCAACGCCTTGTTGCTAACAAGGCTTTGTTGTTGATGGGTGCGAGTGCGCATGGTCAAAACTACGCCACATAAGTTGCATCACTTATCGATTCTGACTAAATGTTGATTAGTTTTAGACGGGCATGGCTTGGTCATGCTAATACAGATTGTTAACCCATTTTTATGTCCAATCTGCATTCGGGAGGCCCTTGATCGGAGGGCTTGTCCACACATGGCCGGTGCGCAGCTGCAGCGGATGGTGGCAACTGCTCACCGATGTGAGAAAGCAACCAAACTATTGTCAGACTAGCTGCTACACATTGTTTTACACATACGCGAGACAACAACTTCGTGAATGCTCGTGGGGAAGTCTACAGCACGCTTCGACTTTAGCCGAAACAGCCACGATATTCTCCGTCCAGCCTCTGTTTCCTTCGCTTGGACATTGGTCATTCCTTCTTCTCAGACACACACGCGAGATTTTCGTGACGAGGGAGTCTTCGCCCGGGTTAAGGGTAAGGGCATACGTGCGTTTGGGGAGCTCTCTGTCTGTGGGAAACAGCAACAACAGGCTTATAAGGCCCTTACGTTATTTTCTTGGTTCCTCATCGTGTTGTCTTTTATCAGTCTGTGGTAAAATATATTGAGTTAGCCAGTCCAATGTCACGTGTTCCCGATTTTAAACGCCTCGCATTTGCTTCCAGGTCGACGCGAACTATGTTCCTCTTCATTTTGTAACTTGGGTGCGTCGTGGTCTCTCAGAGCGCACCTTGGGCCACTACGACATCTCACTCCAACCAGCAATATTACCAGTCATATCTCGTCACGACGAACTCAGCATTAACTCACTCCCACCATCTGCCTCTGCACCGCACCCTGGCTAACAGCCGGACTCGAGCGCCTTCCCACCCCTGCCAGACTCCGGCTTCCCTGACCCGAGCGCCTTCCCACCCCTGCCAGACTCCGGCTTCCCTGACCCGAGCACCGTCCCACCCCTGCCGGCCTCCGGCTTCCTTGACCCCAGCACCGTCCCGCCCCCGACAGACTTCCCTGACCCGGGCGCCATCCCGCCCCTGTCAGATTCCGTCTTCCCTGACCCGAGCGCCGTCCCACCCCTGCCAGACTCCGGCTTTCCTGACCCGAGCACCGTCCCACCCCTGCCGGCCTCCGGCTTCCTTGACCCCAGCACCATCCCGCCCCCGACAGACTTCCCTGACCCGGGCGCCATCCCGCCCCTGCCAGATTCCGTCTTCCCTGACCCGAGCGCCGTCCCACCCCTGCCAGACTCCGGCTTCCCTGACCCGAGCGCCGTCCCACCCCTGCCAGACTCCGGCTTCCCTGACCCGAGCGCCGTCCCGCCCCCGACAGACTTCCCTGACCCGAACGCCGTCCCGTCCCTGCCGGCCTCCGGCTTCCCTGACCCGAAAACCGTCCCGCCCCTGCCAGACTCCGGCTTCCCTGACCCGAGCGCCGTCCCGCCCCTGCCAGACTCCGGCTTCCCTGACCCGAACACCGTCCCGCCCCTGCCGGCCTCCGGCTTCCCTGATCCGAGCGCCGTCCCGCCCCTGCCAGCCACCACCGGCGGCGGGTCGGCTGACATCCCTGATCCGAGCGCCGTCGTCTCCGTGCGCGCGAGCGCCGCCAGCGTCTCGCGGAAGCCGCGCCGGAACGTGTAGTTGGTCAGGCCGTACACCAGCGGGTTGAGCGCGGCGCTCGCGTACATGAGGTAGTGCGCGGCGTACCAGAGCGCGCGGAGCCGCTCCGTCACCGCGTCGGCGGTGTCCGGCAGTCGGTACCGCTGGATGACGACGACGGCGAACGGCGTCCAGCAGACGACGTAGACGGCGGTCGCCGTGCAGAGCATGACGGCCACCCTGTCCCGCCCGCGCGCGGCGGCTGGCGCGCCGGCGCCGCCGCGCCGCGCCGCGCGCCTCGCCGCCGCCTCCAGCCGGCAGAAGATCCAGGCGTAACTGACGAGGATGGCAGCGACCGGCAGCCAGACGAGCAGCGCACCCAGCGTGAGCCAGTATACGCCGAGCTGCTGCTTGTCCTCGGTGCAGAACTGCTCGCGGAAGTTGCGCCACTGGCGCTGCCGGTAGTGGCGCCAGAGGAGGAGCGGGCTGGCGAGCGTCGCCGCCGCCGCCCAGAGCGCCAGGCTGAGCCGGCAGGCGCCGGCGGCGCTCAGGCGCGCCAGCGGCGGCGCCGCGATGGCCAGCAGGCGCAGCAGGCTTACCGCCACCAGCGTCAGCGCCCCCACCACCGTCAGCGTCAGCATGATGAACCCCTCCGCCTTGCACATGGCGGCACCGAGCTCCCAGTTCTGGAAGAAGTCCTCGACCATAAGCAGAGCGGGCAGCAGGGTGGTGGTGAGCAGGTCTGACACAGCCAGGCTTGCCAGAAGCACGTTAACGGGCGTGCGCATGTTCCGGTGCCGCGCCACGAGGAACAGCACCAGCCCATTACCGAGCAGCCCAAGCACCGCGACGGGGACGAAGGCGATCACCTTGACAGCGATCTGGCCGGCGGGGCGCACGCGCCAGATGGGGCGCGGGAAGTCGTGCTGCCAGAACGGGAAGTCGGCCGACGAGAGCGAGCCGTTCAGCAACGGCTGCGGATGCCAGCGCAGGTCCGTATCGGTCGTCTGCTCAAACACTGGCTGAGCAGCGGCGGCAGCGGCGGCGGCGGCTGCGGCGGCGGCGGCGGTGGCGGCGGTGGTGGTGGCCGGGCCCTCCAGGGGCGTGGAAGCGGCCATCGCAGCGAGACGCGAGCGCAGGCCGGCAACAGTGGCTCGGAGTCTGGCGACGCGCTGGAGGTCTTACCGTGGCCTTAGATGATTTCGCTGTTGTTTTTCCTGGTTGCTCTTCAGCAATTGGCGACGAATCGATTCTTTTCGGCAAGAGATGTTTCACGTAGTTCGGTTATGCCCAAGCAGTCGACGCTGCATGTGAAGACTCGGCCATTTTCCAACCCAGTCTTCACGCCGTCCATTTCCGAAATCACATCGATGTGATCTCCTTCGATGCCTAACGGCTTCCAATCAGACTACACGCCTGCTTTTCTTCGTCACCAAGCTGCAGCCTGCCCAGCGCGGTTCCGTGGCCACTGGTCAGCGGCCTCCGGGTCTCTCGGCTGGGAAGCCACGTGCCGACCGAAACAGCGCCTCTCTTCGAACGGCCGCTGCGCGAGGCGATAGTCGGAGCCGTGATGGTCACTTCGCTCCGACCTCGAGCAGCTCCACCCGGGGATCCGTGCGTTGCCGACTGAGATACGCCGTGTCGCCGCCCGCAGTTTTACCCCCGGGCCTGTGTCGATCTGTTGCTCATCAGGGGCGGATCCAGGCACGGCCCTCGTGGGTGCTGTCATTCGATCCGCGGGCGTCAGTGGTGCGCGGCGAGAGCGCTCCGCTTGATGGCGATTTTTTACAATATTACCTTTCCGCCGCTCGGACTTCTCTCGACCCGCTGCCGCCTGGACTGCGCGCGGTCCCTCGACGCGGAGGTCAAACGCAGGCGGGCTGAGGGCCCCGGCCAATTAGCCACGATAAGGATGTGGAGAGGGTCGCGGAAAAGGTCGCGGAAAGGTCGCGGAGAGCACGCGGCACAGCTGGCTGGCAAAGTGCCGTGTTTGCTGACAGCACATACACGTGATAGGCCGACATATGACATTGTAAAGGAGTGTAAATGGCGCTCTGTATCATAAACGGATAACTTATGTCAACAGGCCAGCGGACGTACTATTTCTCTAGTCATATTGAAGCCTTAAGTTGCGCGTTGGAGACCTAAAACCCGTGCAGCGCCAGTGCGTCATGATATTTCCAGCTGCAACTACAGCCATATCGCCAGCCGACTTCTTCTGCTCCTGGTGGGCTGCACAGCCGTCCGCCCCGCACCAAGTGAGCAGCACAGGGAGAAATCCGCCGTCATATCGCGGCTAATTGGCAGGCAAAACACTTTCTGCTGCTCCTGGCGGGCAGCACAGCTGTCCGCCCTGCACCAAATAAGCAGCACAGGAAGAAGTCCGCCATCACATCGCGGCTACTTGGCGGGTAAAACGCTGAAGGATGCCTGCCGTTGATTGAAGTCAAGTTCGGTTCTCTCAATGCCGTTCCATATTTCACTATGTCGCCTCAACTTTGATGTCCTGTTTGGCATCTCGCTCGAAGTAATCCACCAATCTGCCGAGACGTCATTCTCAAAACTGAACTGTGAAGCATTAACATTGTTTGGTCCGCAGCCAATAGTAATCACACATTCCGCAGGGCCACCGAACGAGACGACGAAACGTTCCCAAAGCCCAGCACGCCGGTAACAATCTTGAGCAATGCTACGTACGTACCATCGTTGAAGTAATTCCGGTTATGGTGCCTTGACGTAGATCAGTTCGGAAACAGCACAAGCATCCTATTGAGTCACCGCCTAAATCCCAATTTATAAGATACGTGTTGAGTGTATTTATCATAACTGGAGTGACTAAGCTGCCCCGTACGACGGCAACATGACTTCCGCTACGAGTGACGAGCCCGCACCAAACGCAAACGGTTGAAGCGTAACCAACACACACACGCACACATCCCGCGACCCGCCAAGTACGAAGGCAAAAACGCACCACACGAGGTAGTCTTATACAGTACTTGGGGCCTAACGCTACTTAGCAAAAACACAGCCGGACTGAGCAATCGTCGCACTGCTGCTGGAAGCGTATTGTTGCGGACGTTGCGATCACACGGGCTGTGCTTCACTGGGGAGGAGGGGGTGGGTGGAGAATAATAGTAGTTATACGAGGTCGAAGGCTGCAGCATCTGTGCCTCTAATCACACCATTCAGTTCCATGCCGCTTTCCAGAGCAGTAATGCGGGGTATGCTCCGAAATGTGGAGATGTCCCTGACATTGCACCAGACACATACACCGCCTATCTCTCGGTCCATCACGCAATATCGCTAAGCGGTCTACAAAAGTACGAACTGGAGCTGTCCACACAGCCCGTCACCACCAAACCCCCACACATACAGCCCCCAGCCGGCGCCCTCGCAGACCGACGCAGCCACGCCCAGCTCGCGGCAAGGCTGACCCACAGCACCGCCACGCGTCCGTGTGGCCGGCGGACAGCTGACCCGAACTGTGGCCCGCAGCGGCCGGTCACGTGCAAGCGGTGCCGGCGAGACGGCCAACGCGCGACTAGAAGAAATGACGGATCAATCGGCTGACGAATCGGACCCAGAGCGGCACGAGGCGGTCGGGCCGCGCGAATGTGCTGCCATCTACTGGTGTGGAGTGAAGGAAGAGCTTGCGGCGCTCCTCCGCCAGGGCAAGTCGCAGCGGTTCGTGCCGCGTTACCATGACGACCTGCGACTCCAGGTCGCGGTAGGTGGAGCGGTAGCCTGCAGACGACGAGAAGACGTCATTAAGAGTTCGATTAGGTTCGAGTCGGAATGAATCTCAATATAAAAATAAATCCTGGACAGGGTGGTAATCTGAAGTCTGAGGCCGAGTCTGGGAACCTATCGGCTTCAAACAAGGCACAATGGGTCGTACAAGACCCGTTGACGTCCTGACGTTACAATGAGCGAGTATTGCAAAAAATAATCAATGTAAGCAATCGTTGGGTTTTTATGCAGCACCCAGTGCCTGATACACGGATTTACGTAAACGTCAAAACCAATCCAACGCAGCCGATCTCAACCAAAAGATGAACCGGAAGCCGACGTAACGAACTTAATCTGCTGAATCTAGCACAATCAAAAACAAAAAAGAATCTAGGTCCGATTTTACTTTTTCGCTTTTGATTTGTTCAGTTGGCAAGTGATCTATCCGTAAATCAACTTGGCTGATTTCAGCACAGGTAAAAATGATAGGACAACGAATAGCAAGTGAGACGGCGGAGACGAGGTATGAGGCGGATCAACTGCAACAAATTTTCCCGTCAGCTGTTGAACGAAGGGTGTGGAAAAAGGATAACAAAACGCTCTGTTCTGTTCCTCCAAACTCAAAACGTTTTCTATCCCGTTATCCCAGACCAAGGCAACCATAGCTGCGAAACGCCAATTACGTGCTTTCTAGTTTAGGCAGTCATTTAGATGGCAGGTTGTCCTCGGTGGCAACGTCTCACAGGACAGCTTTCATGCAAATCAGTAGACACAACAGGCTAGCCAAAGTTATCCGCTCCTATAGCTGTAACTGATGCAAACTTGAAGCTACAACAAAAACGTCACGGGAGCGAGTTATTAACGAGTCTGAACACCCGTGCAGAGGACAAAAAATGCATGGGGGAGGGGCGCCTCTCACGGTCCAAACAAGACTGCCTGCCTCTGCAGCCGGCGCCCTGAGTCTCCGTATCTACAATCAGCCCCACATCCAGTGACGCCACGCCCAAACTAAGTGACGTCACACCCCAAACCCAGTGACGTGACGCCCCAAACCAAGTGACGTCACGCCTCAAACCCAGTAACGTCAGACCCTGGACCCAGTGCATCACGCCTCAACACTGCACACGCCAGCGCTCCGGCCGACCGGTCTGACTGGGCGCGATAGTTCAGTGCGACAGCGGCCCGTTGAGGCGGCCACTGACCGAAGTTGGACGATCCGATCACGGTGGCGGAGGGCGTGTCCTCGCCCGCCGCGTGACACCAGAGGCCCTTGCTGTGGAACGTCCATCTGCCGACACATTCAGAGCCGACACTCAAAGGCGGCCATGCACAATGTCACTTGAAGGAAACAATTTTCGGACTTTTACTCTCTCTGGAACAGACATTTATATTTATTACTTATATTTCATCTATACTTCTTTTTGTATTTTTTTCATTTGCCTGCACAGTATCACTTAAATTGAACTGTTTTGGTTTGCAATAACTTCGCAACACTACCTCAGCTTCCCTTTTAATTGGGTCAGACACACTTTTCATTGTTAAGCAAAATCTCTGTAGTCTCTTGGGCCCAAATTGTGTGTTAAACGCATATCACAGCCTACTTGTGGTTGATTGACACCAACGAAAATGCTGCCGAGATCCCGAATTCGTTACCGAAACACACTTGCACCAATCACTGAGCGCCACAGTGAACCAAGCGCGAGTCCCCGTCTCCGAACCACGCTTCCACCATTCTGCGCGAGCCAGCCGACCTGCGCCTCGCACCCGCGCGGCCCGTACCCCGGCCGGCCTGCACCTCGCACCCGTGCGGCCAGTACCCCGGCCGCCGCGCACCCGTGCTGCCCGTACCCCGGCCGCTGATACTCGTGAAGAGTGACGCCACTCTGTCGGCCGAGCGCCCGGTGGAAGCGCTGCAGCAGGTACGTGTAGGCGGCCGGGATGTAGCCGGACAGGTCCCGGGCGCGCAGGAAGCCGTTGGCCTGCGAGGTACGGCAACAACATCCGCCTGAGAGACCGGGTGGACACTGGACGCAGGGGTACGGCGGGGGGGGGGGGGGAGGTCTGCGTTCGAGAGGCGCATGTTCGGTCAGCACAGCCGGTGCACGGTGTTTGGTCGGAAGGCTTTCACTGGTCCAGGTTCCGTCAGCACGCGACACGGGAATGACCTTTGCCGTCAAGGAAATCATTATCACGCGTATGTAGCACAGGTGCCTTCGAGCTCCAAGCAGCCCCGTACTGGAGCTTACTGCATGCCCCCTGAACCCACCAGCCAAGGGTGGCGTTTCAGTCCTTCGATGACTCAACAACGGTTCTTTTTGGCCGGATGGAACTACGGTTAGGTCTTTTACGCGCCGTCAATGCTATGACACGTCGCACCACGAAAGGTCAGCCAACTTTGGCCGGAACTGCCAACTGGCCTTCTCGCGGCGCCCGGGTTTAACAATGCACACCTTCTGGGGTTCGACCCCGTGCTGTTTGGTTATGAGTCTGTTAGATCCACCCTGGATCACGGGCGCGGCAGCCATTGATGTGCAAACACGGGCGGGGAGGGGGGGGGGGGGGCATGTCCCCTCCCTCCCCACTTTTAGCACACAGCTCCACGGCAATGCGTGGAGAGGATCGAATTTGGCACACTACAACGTGCAGTGGGAATACCGAGCATCGCAGACCAGCGATGTATCACTGAAAGCCATGCCAAATACTGGAAAAACAACAGCACACCACAAATTGATAACACTCCACCACAGACTACGAACACCACATCAGTAAGGATGTCATGCTACAGGCTGACAACATCATACTTCGGTGTAGTACGCACTGTACCATTTACTGGATGACACTACCATACTGGCAACAAGGAAGACTGTCCCGCAGACTGAGAGTCTGAACCACGGACTGGGAGTCCACACTGATGACCGGGGGCACGGTTTCACCGCCCGGAAGCCCCATGCCACAGTCTGGGCACATCGCACCACAGACAAGCACCGTGCGGCCCACTGAAGACGCCTCGGTGCCGGGGAAGCCCCAAACGCGGGCGAGGAGTACCGTCTGTTAACGCGTCTGCGTTAACCACTGCGCGTCTGGGAAACCAGAGGTACGGGGTTCGATTCCCCGCGGCACCCGCCCTTCTTGCCAGGGTGAGAGGCAGGCGACGCTATAAAGCCCCAGCAGCTGAGTGCGTCGCAAAGCCCCAGTGACATGACATGACACACGGCGAATAGTACCGTGGGGTGAGCGCAGAGGACGGCGACGGGTCGCCGCCGGCCGGCCGTCAGCGCCGCCATGTTGGCGTCTGTCAGGTTGAAATAGCCGGTGGCCAGGTAGGTGTCGCCTCGCAGAAGGTCCCCCGTGAGCAGGCGCCGCGTCACGCTGCCGGAGACCCGGGCCGTCACGCGCTAACGTCACGGCTGCGCCAGGTTGATGCAAGGCATTGGCCGGAGAGTCCGTGCTTAGGTCGAGAGGTCCCGGGTTCGATCCCAGCTTCGGGAAACTTTCACCGGCCCCATTGCACAACGGCGTAGCGACGCTGACAGACGTAGCAGTCGCGAACGTCGAGAACCAACCTAGCGATCGCCACTGAGGGCATCTCTACTCACCGAGCAATGCTGACTGCGTCAAAATCAAGCGTCGCATGCCAAAAACGACAACAACGCGTCACACCACGAAAAACGGCAGTTTATCGCCTCGGACAGCGCCTCGCCCACAACGCCAAGATCCAGCCCCGCTGCTGACCGCAGCCGCGTTTCCGGCAAGGGGGCGGCACCGACCTGTCGTCCAGATGGACGCCAACCGGCGCCAGGTTGACAGTGGGCATGACCCAGGTATCGCCGCCGGACGGCGACGGCGGCGGCGGCCGGTGGCTGCGCCAGCGCTCCAGCAGCCGCTCCAGCTCGGCCCGGGCCCGCGCCGTGAACTCGTCCAGGTCGCCCTGGTACGGGTGCACCGGCCACGACCGGTGCAGCTGTCGACGGGCCGCCGGTGAGGGCTCGCATCACCGCGGCCGACTGTGACTTACCGCAGTATCGATACAGTGCAGGATGGATAGGTAGATATGGTAGATACAGCATGGATAGGTATATATGGGTAGAGAGATATATGGTAGACAGCATGGATAGGTACAAATGGTAGATACAGTATGGATGGGCATATATGGTAGATACAGCATGGAGAGGTATATATGGTAGATAGAGTATGGATAGGTAGACAGGGGCACGACAGCCGGCCTCGCCAGTAAATACCGTTAATAAGATAACGCACCTAGAATCCAAGCACCGCCGTCCTGGACTACTGACTGTCCAGGGGCAGGAGTTTTTGCACACTCTTTTGGATCGATATCTTTTGATGTTTCCTGGCATTAATTGGGGTACGCAGGCTGCGGGACTTTCTATATAGGTGCGCACAAGAATGGTTTTGAAAAGCAGTCAGATACACGAACCCTACACACGACCGGTAGGAAAAACAAACGCGACACGTGCCGATAAGCGCTGAGCCTACAGATACTCAGCTGGCACATAAGGAGTATTCGACGATAATTACTGAGCCTAAAGACACTCAGCTGACACCTGAGGAGTATTCGACGCATATACGGTGTAGGTAGTGGACGAAAAAAATATTCTGACGCCAAAACGCATGACACCCACTCCCCCACACCTGCACAACTAGCACCCCAATACCTGCGCCAATCCGACACACAAAACCGAGATAAAACGTTGCTCCTGCTGGGATTCGAACCCGGCCTGCGCACCTGCAGCGTGTCGCGCGAGCTCAGCTGAAAGCTGAAGCGGGAGACGGCGGCCACCAGTTCGCAGTAGAAGTCGGCCAGCGTCGCCGCGCCGCGGAAGACAATGTAGCGGTCCTGCCGCTCGGCGAAGTAGTCGTCGTTGAGATTGGCTCTGCGGCGGAGAGGCGCGCTCAGCGGTGACGTCACTGGGGCGCGGCACGGCGGCCCGGGTCCGGTGTCCTCATGGCGCTTGGATGGCGGCAGACACTAGGGGTTCCACCATTGTGGTTTGTGAAAGATATGAAGCAATTGACAGATGGACCCCTTCATCGCCTAACGGCCGAGCGGCCATGGTCAACACCTCGCGCGGGCCATCGCAATGACGCCGGCGAACCAGGCCCGCTATCCGCCCGGAGACGGACTCCGATTTCGAAATTCTAACGCCGCCTCCCTGCTTGGTACACCTGCAACACTTATGAGTGGTGGCCAACCGTGATCGACGCAGAACTGGTACTTAACGCGAATAAGTACGTTAGTACAATAACTGAGTGCGGGCATATTTATTGCACTCTGATACTGTGGTGTCATGCTTAGGATCTCGAGTCCTGTTTTTGTCACCCGGTCATCAAAGTACGGGCAGTGCTCTTGGTGTTGGTGCCGCTGACAGGAAAACAATTGTCAGGAAGTCTGTCTGAATGGAGGGGGGGGGGGGGGGGGGGAGTTTTTAATCCATTTCCGTCGTGGAACGGCGTGGTGCCAACGTTTAACATTCTGGACGTTGAGGGACAGCTGCCAACTGTTACCTGTTTCCAAACGCCTAGGTGATGACTTCAGTATCACATACATTTGAAGCTAGATCGCCTTAAGGATCGACGCCACCACGTCGACTTGGTTTGTGATACGAAACCTTCCAGCAAGGAAGGTTTTGTACTGTTCCCGGCTGTTTCCGTTCTTTCCGACGCCACACGACGCCACGACGCCGCCGTTCTGAGCTCCAGCAGCCCACTGGCAACTCAGCACTGACTAGCCCCCGAGCGTCGTTCACGTGTCCACGAGCGCCGCTTGCGTGTCCACGAGCGCCGTTCACGTGTCCACGAGCGCCGCTTACGTGTCCACGAGTGCCGCTCATGTGAACACGAGCGCCGCTCACGTGCCCACGAGTGCCACTCACGTGGTTGCGAGCGCCGCTCATGTGTCCCCGAGCGCCGCTTACGTGTCTCTGAGCGCCGCTTACTTATCCACGAGCGCCGCTTACGTGTCCGCGAGCGCCGCTCATGTGATCACGAGCGCCGCTCACGTGGCCACGGGCATCGCTCACGCGTCACGTACCCGCTGATGACCAGGTCGTCGTCGAAGATGTACACCTTCATGTGCTGCAGACCGACCACCTCATCCCAGCGGGCTGGCAGCAGCCACTTGAGGAAGGAGCGGAGCGTCGGTGTGTGGTACAGCGCCACCTGCCGGGGTCACATGGGGTCAGACAGGAGCGTGGGTGTGTGGTACAGCGCTACCTGCCGGGGTCACACACGGTCAGACGGGAGCGTGGGCGTGTGGTACAGCGCCACCTGCCGGGGTCACACGGGGTCAGACAGGAGCGTGGGCGTGTGGTACAGCGCCACCTGCCGGGGTCACACGGGGGCAGACAGGAATGTGGGCGTGCGGTATAGCACCACCTGCCGGGGTCACACGGGGTCAGACAGGAGCGTGGGCGTGTGGTATAGCGCCACCTGCCGGGGTCACACGGGGTCAGACAGGAGCATGGGCGTGTGGTATAGCGCCACCTGCCGGGTCACACGGGGTCAGACAGGAGCGTGGGCGTGTGGTATAACGCCACCCCGGGGTCACACGGGGTCAGACAGGAGCGTGGGCGTGTGGTACAGCGCCACCTGCCGGGGTCACAGCTGACAGCTCTATCGGCGCCCGAGGGCAACTCCCGATCACGTTTCTGTTCTGACCTAACCTGTCTTAACTGGTTCTACTCTGGCCTGATTACTCGTCTAACCTGCTCCTCCATTGACCTGACCTTCCCCTCAGCTATCTTTCTACCAGCATGATCCCAACCATCCTCGCTTTGGCCTGACCTCCCATGAGATCTGACCCCCCCCCCCCCTGGGCTGTGCACTTCTACGGCCATCTCCCCCCCCCCCCCCCCACGCACACAACTCCCTCCGAGCCCCTGAAGAAGAGCTCTGACCTGGCAGCGACGCTCGAAACGCTGCACCAGCGGCAGCAGCAGGTGCCGTGAGCTGGGAGAACGCTTGGCGTCGCCCCGGCTCCCAGCGCAGGCAGTCCAGCAGCACGTGCGCCTCCAGCTCCGGACGGGACTCCAGCGACTCCGACAGCGAAGCCACCTGACGGTGCGGCGGACCGTCAGCTGGCGGGCGTCGACGACGCTCGGAGAAGTGAAATAGCTGCGGCGTTATGATGGGGGCAGTGAAGATGGCTTCGCACATTCAACCGAAGATTCGGACTAATAATACACATGATACAAAACACGAATAGCACACACGATAATGTAAATTTACATGAACGTAATCAACTAGACGATCGATCGCCTCAGCATACTACGTCTTGAAGGGGTGTCTGAGCGGTTTAGAAAATGGAAGCCTCCATCACACCCATGTAGTGCGCCATAACTGGTGAAACAGGTGAATCTGTTCACCTGCTCACCCTGTTTACACATTCACCCGATACCCAGTGTACTGTAAATTTTGTTCACACTATCAGCGGGCAACAGCGCCGGCCGCTCAGCGGGTGACAGCGCCGGCCGGCCGCCACCTCGGAAGTACGGGCACACCTCAGCCACCACTACCACTGACCAGCGCAAGCGAGAGCGGGCCATTGCCCAGATACAGGGATGAGAGGACGATGCGGCGCCGCGCCCGCCGGCACCCATCCACCAGGAACTGGTAGAACTCGGCCGGCTCCGACAGCACCTCCACCTGGCGGAGCAATGATGGCCGGTCCGGGCGTTAGCACACAAACAATGTCCAGGTTGTTAATAATGTAGGTGTTTGCAGAGGAGGAATGTGTCCCACATCAACAAGTTGAAAAATGCAGTGAATTATACTAAGATTGGTCAACAGAGTAGCTGACATAAATATTCTAACATTACATGAAATGCTTCTGATAATAATGAGCCTTGTGTTCCATAGGCAACACATGACTGATGCAGTCAAAGCGCCCTAAAACCCCAATCATTATTAGCAGTATCATCAATGAGTGAGTTTTATGGATTGTAGTAGTCACAATATATTGCAATGTACTTGTGTGTTGTTTTTGTCGGCAGCCATACACATACCTGGGACCCATGTATGTGAAACACTGGGCACTCCTTCTTCAGTTCTCCAAGAAGATCAGACAGCTGCCCATCCATGACAATGTAAGTCTTAATGCCTGATAAAAGTAAAACATAAAGAAAACATGTACATTAATTCAAACATAAAAAGCTGTGAAATACGGGACCTGTCATGTCTTTGAAACAATGGTCCAATTGCAATGCCTGCACACACAGAGTGATTTGTCCAACAAAACCAACAATCTGGTGCAGCCAGTAAACCTTGCTTAAACATGCTTAAGTCTAAGTTGACTTGATGAGGTCAGCTGAATGAATTTTGGGTGAGGATGGTCAAGGCCATCAAATACATTACAAAATTTCCACTATCCAGTCTGATTAGATTCTGGGATAAAAGGGGAGGTTGCTTTTGGCCCCCTCAAAGTTGCAGATGTCAAAGTCCTCTAGGCAGTGCCCAGGTATGACAGTAGTTTTGACCCTAAAGCTATAACATGGTGGGATAATGATACCCAAAACCACTTTTTTGTTATTCTTAAAAGGACATCATAACTTGGTTATTATCATGTTTCACAGTCAATATAAGCTTCATTTGTGTTTAACCAGCTTCATCATCAAATTTTGTCCATGAAGACAGGATATCACGCATCAATGCCAATGCAATTTTTTACAACTTGAAGATAATGGTAGACTGAGAGACTCATCGACAAAACTAGGTGGCCACTTTGGCAAGAAGCCAGCACAAACACATATGTACAGGCATTTCTTCTGCAGTCCTCTGCCAGTTAATGTTCACCTGCATGGTCAGAGTTTCATGATCAAGGGTTACAATAACATTAATAGTTTTAGGTCTTTGAGCACAAAAGTGGGATCCAAAAATGTACAGCAAGGTATCTCACAAACAGCTCAAACCATGCTAGAAACTATCATTAAGCCTTGTGTTGACACCATGTCTGCCTCAGTATGATTGTATGATTCATACTGATTGTATGACGTATGAAGACGTATGATTGTATGAGGTATGATTATGCAATTTTTGCAATGCATTTGAAAGGAATGCAATACATATACATGAGGCAGTGTTAATAGACCTATTCCTCACAGAATAAATTGAAAAATGGAGCACAAAATGACAATTAGCACCGTATCATCAAAAGCATGACAGCTAAATAAGACTATTTTGAATGTTAAAAAACAACTCCAGCTGGCAGATCTATACACCTCATCCGGAGGATATCCTTGAAGTGGTTTATAGTTACATCATACCCCTCACTGTGAGTTCACAGGGCAACGCGGTCTTGCATGGGCATTGTGCCATCATTAGGTATTCGTCTCATAATCGGCATTTTTGCAACAACTGTATGGGCGCCGCCATGTCGTAGAGAAGATACCGTGTTTCTTGTGATTTATATCGTAATATTTAAGTTGTTATAAAATCAGTTAAAAATGTTTTACTCCATTCAAAGATAACACATAAGTCAATTAGCCATCAGTATTCAAACTACATTTTCACACCACTACAATTTTTCACTGATCAGCTGACCGGGCAAGGCGATACTGGCGCTTGAGGCGATTCGTTTTTTCGGACATTGGCGTTGAAAGCTGCCTTTTGCGTGAGGCACCTTCCGCTGCGGGGATCGGCGTTTTAACCCGTGCATATATTGCGGCCGGCCCGATTGTTATTTTTACGAGAGCTTTCTCGTTCATTAGACATGGCATATTGTAGCAGAGCTGTTCTCAGCAAGGTGGGATATGTCCTTTATGTTACGTGTGATTGATATATGCTCGAACCAGCTGCACCGTACCATGCGATGACTGCATGCCATCCTGCTTGTGCCATGCCCCCCGCGCTACCGTGTTGTTTTCCAGGATGTGAAAAATTCTGGTGGAACAATATATTTCACTCCTCATCCCCATTCACAGGCACCACTGCTTCGTGGTGTGTCAAATTTATGCTGACATAGCTGGCTATTGCTTGGTGTATGAATATTCCATTGCTGTGCTGGATGCCTTCATAACATTGGTGCACTGATTGGCGTGCTTACTTGTACCAAAATCAGTTAATGTGGGGAGTAAACACCTTTACTCCTGGCATGCTAATGGATGCTATGTGGGCATTGATGTGACCCAATCTTAATAAGAATGGATATAATGTACGCAAGTGTTGAGCGAAGGATCAGCTGACAAATACATCTGGATAGCCTTAATTACAAGAAAAGTATTATTTTAAAAGATGCTGATAGGTAAATTGAACTGAGGACAGAACATTTGGGTGTAATCAATATCACTGCAAAGCATAAAGACAAGATGTATAGTGACATGTTTTAATGAGATGCTACCTGGTAAATTGAAGCAATTATCAGACCATGTGGGTGTGTCCAGTGTCACTACAAAAAAGATGGATGGCCATGATTCTCACCCTATCCAGTTTGCAAAACATGAGTTAGTCAGAATGAGATGTAAGGGGAGGTGATTGAGCAGGAATCAGAAAGAGTAGAATTCATGGGTACCAGGTCATTAGATTGCATGTAGGATATCTCACACCTCAAAATGAAGATTTTATATTTGTAGGTTGAAATTGAGTAGTGACTTGGCAGATTTATAGTAGTTGTTTGTGAATGAATGCACAAATATTTAGACCTGCTGCATAGGTCTGCATAGGTCCCCTTAGGATGCTACATAGATCTGCCAGTGTGCTATTGGGTGGATGGGATGTGGCAGCAAGGTACACCAGTGCGGGTGCTGAATGTTAATGAAGAAATGCCGTTTGTGGCAAATGCACACCACCGCTGTAAAAGATGAATAGGGGCCAGAATGGAACAAATGCTTCTACAACAGTAGCCATGACTCTTATCATTGTCCTCCAGCCTAAATTTCATTATTGAACACAATGTCAGCAACAACTGCTGAGCTCTTGTACAAGCAATCTGAGTGGCTGGCAGCAGGCCCATTGATAATTCCCCTCATTCAAGGACCTTTCCCAAGTGAAATGTTTGACTGCCAATACTTACAAACACAGCACATATGTAACTATGTAAAAATGCCACAGCTGTAAGATCGTCTCAGTACTTTTTGAGCCCAACACAAGCGTAACAAAAAGCAACTTTCCTTGGAATGCTCCAGTTCAGTAAGGAATGTCCTGGCAAGTTGTTTGCAAGACCACTCAAACTGGTAGAAACATGGCTTGTGTACATTCATGTGACACATGGAGACATGTGTCAACTGCTCTATCACTTTGGTATTTGAACATGCCATTGTACAAGCTGTCTGGTTGGCTGTGCTGTGGATAATTATGAGTAAGGTCCAACAAGGGATCTCCTGGCAAATTGGGTGCATGACCGCCCAGCTACATTGTGTGCATGTGTGGTTAAATAGTGGAGCTGTGCTGACAGTCTCAGGGCCTACTGGACAGGGGGAGATTTTTCTGATTAGATGCTTTCATGGGCCCTGTCCTGTACCATGGTAAAGAAGGTGCCACAGTAAAATGTGGAAATGTCAAATGTGAATGGTAAATGTAAAATGTGTTGCAATGCAATTTTTCCACAGATGACCTCACTCATCTGTACACAAATGGTACATGAATGATGTGGCATGATACAGACAGTGCCGTGAGGACATCATGACCAGACTAAGGTGCACCCCAAGAACTGAATGTGCTGAGATGGATCCACCCGTCACCCCACAGGCCTGCCATGCCGTGACGTGGCAGACCCAGGCGCGATGCTTCCACCAGTCGCCTCTGAGCTACGCGGCTGGCAAGGCGGCCATGTCGCGCTTCGATGACGCCCAGCTGCCCTACGACAAGCTGCGCAAAAACTACGAGGTCGTCAAGAAACGGTGCGTAGGAGGCGGGCCGCGGCGATGTCAAGGAAGGCTTAGAACGTTAGGTGATGTCTGCCAGAGATGTTTTCGTGTCCACGTTTTGGTGTCACAGTGCTTGAGCTGTTGGAATGGTTTTGCAGATGTTGCCATGCATGCCATTGGTGACTGGGTGATGCTGTTGGGGTCGGCCACCACATGTTGTAACTAGATGGATTGTGTTGGCAGTGTGACTTGGGCTGAGGTCTGGCTCAAAATGTATGGAAATGGTAGATCACCAGGATCCATCCGTCCATTCACACCTCCGCCGATCACTTTGCCTCCCCACCCCTCTCGCTTTCCGCCGCTCACACCACCCTGCCCCCTCCCTCGCTCTCCGTCGCTCACACGGCCCACCCCCATAGTTCTGCGCTGCTCATCGCCCCCCCCCCCCCCTTCCGTCGCCAGCTTGGACCGGCCGATGACGGCGTCGGAGAAGGTGCTGTACAGCCACCTGGAGAGTCCGGCGTCGCAGGAGCTGGAGCGCGGCTCCTCCTACCTGCAGCTGCGGCCCGACCGCGTGGCGCTGCAGGACGCCACGGCCCAGATGGCGCTGCTGCAGTTCATCAGCTCCGGCCTGCCGCGCGTCGCCGTCCCCTCCACCATCCACTGCGACCACCTGATCGAGGCGCAGGTGAGCCGGCCGCCGCCGAAATGCGGCGCCTCCGGCGGGGATTGAACCCACGTTGCTGTGGCGGGCGGGGGTCGGACCGCGCCGACCACTCGTCTCGGGATGAGATAGACGTGCTGGTCACGGTACCACCGAGGCCGGCAGCGGGCGACGCAGTGCGGAGAGGGCGGTCACACGGGAGTGCACTGTGCACGGGAAGCTTCGGATTGTGCACTGCACACAGAGGCGCGACGAAGCGAGGATGACAGCCCATCCACAGAGTTCGAGGAAACATGGACCCCAGCCCCCCCCCCCCCCGGCGCCCCCAACGGTTACATCTATCCAAAATCTCTTTCGGATGTTGGCTGTGTGTTGCTGCTGCTGGATGCATGTGGCTGTGAGTAGACAGCCACCAAGTACCCACGATGCGTTGCGGTGTGTTGTGTGTTCGCACGGTGCTGGCGCTTGGCGCCTGGCGGCGCCGGCGGCAGCGGCAGCACTGACGCACGCTTTGGCGCGCACAGGTCGGCGGCGTGGAGGACCTGGCGCGCGCCAAGGACCTCAACAAGGAGGTGTACCACTTCCTGGCGTCGGCCGGCGCCAAGTACGGCCTCGGCTTCTGGCGGCCGGGATCTGGCATCATCCACCAGGTGGGGCCTTGTTACCGCATTACCAGACCAGACCAGGTGGTGGACGCCGGCCAGGGCTGCGGATCTGGAGATATCTGGGGATCTGAAGACATCCGTGAACCTGGAGACATCTGCGGACATAAGTGTCCACGACTCCAGGATTTTAATACGTAATTTTTATGCATTAGGCGTGTGGGGTCCACTGGATTGTTGGATCATGAACAGTTCTGATCTCCACTTCACTGGGGAAGGCCTCCACGCTTGGTGAAGTGAACATGCACTGGATAGGGAAGATGGAATTACCATGCCAATCTGGTTCTCCCGCATCCTGCGTCATGCCTCGTGGCATGTATGCCAGCCTGTTGTGAAATAATTTGGGCATCGTACAAAATGATGCATGTTACATGCACACTGCTGTGCATGGCAAGCCTGACATTACAGCTTTGGATGAAGCTATCTGTTGCTGGACGGGATAAACATATTGGCTTGGTCCAAGTACGGATGCATCAAAATGACGTAGTCGATTTTCAGGAAGATTGTAAATTGTAGCATGCATGGGATGTGGCAAATTGTTGAACAAACAAGCTATATCATCCCCTCCATTTTGAATGTGCTTATGCCTGTGGTTTCTTGAATTTAGCTCCTTTGAACTATTATATTACGACTGTGTGGCACCATGTGATCCTAAGTCCAGTGCTGCCTCTCCTTATTGCGCATCGCCGACCATTTTAGGGGAAATGTAGCTTTTTGGTTTATGGCGTGATGCAAAACATTTTGTCTTAAAGCCTAGCACGAGAGTGAGGCGCATAGGCAGGGACCGAAACCGAGTTGGGCAACACGCAATGGCAGGGCTTCAACTTGGATGCTCAAAACAAACAGGAACAATGCTGGAGGTATTCATAACCTGCCTCTCATGGTAGCACCAGCGATCACCCTCCGTCTGCGTTATCCGCGCCCGTCCCACGCTGACCTTGGTCCGAACGTGTACCGTCGTTCGGCGCAGTCCCCTCTGCCTCTCGTGCGACGCGGTGTGGGGCTCCGCCAAGATCGCCTCCAACGGCCGCCACCGTCCCGCGAGCTGGGCCGGTCCGTCCGGCTGAAGTCTCCGGGGGAACTGACGCCCCCCAGGCGTGATCTCTCACCTGAGATCGCGTCCTGTCCGGCCCATGAATCAACCGTAACGCATGGCGCACCTGAATCCACACCAATTGTATAGCCAGGTGTCTTGAGAAGCGGGTGTGTGTGTGGGGGGGGGGGGGGGATTCGAATGCCAAATTTCTGTCATTGAATTCGGGACGTACCGAAAAAGCCAATGACAGAAGGCACAACCCCGTTGAACGAGACCCGTGATATCCTGTTTTCATCGGCCGCGCGACGGACAAAACTCGGCCTGAGCGTTTCCTTTTGCCATCGTTTCGGCAGACACTGGACTTACCCGCCTTCCCGCGCTGCCGCATCCCCTAAAACCCCTGCCGAACTTCAAGCCTCATTCGTCGTGCCGACCCCGCTGTGCGCCCGGCCGCCCGCCCCCCCCCCCCCCCCCTGGCAGGACGGTTTGGTCTCGTGCTGGCGCGGCGCCAGCACCAGCTGAGGCCGGCCGATCGACGCCGGTGGCGCAGCGGCGCGGGCGACAATGCGGCGGCGGGTGCCGGCATGCCGGCATCGGCGGCGAGCGGCCCCACGCGCCGGGCTATTTTGGGGAACGGTTACCACCGCTCCTGAAGGGTGGCGTGGCGAAATGAAACGTTGCGCGGCACTCGGACCCGGGTGCGCTCCAAAGAACGGAAACAGAAGGGGAAGTGCCGTCGTTTGCCCTCCCGGCGAGGCTTACTCGCGCGCTTGGTACGGGGTTCTCGCGCATTTTGCTTGGTGACGCACGTGGTTAGGTCTTTGCTGTGGCGTGACTACGATTGCGGCGGCGCTGATCCCATGGACGGGATTGGGGCTCCACGGCACCGCGGTGGTGTGCTGGCCACTCGGCTGGGAACGCTGGCGTCGAGACAAAGCGCCGCATGTCGTGGTTGCCGTGCTTCATGGACTGTGGATAATGCTAAGCTGATGAACGTGCCAGTGGCATGTGTCTAAAGCTGGCAGATTTTGGATTGTGGTGGACGACTGGTGTGTCCAGCAAGAGACACGAACGTGCCCTATTTTTGGACAGAATGGCCTCACCCCCGGTCGCGTGCAGGGTGAACTTCGCGATCAGCGTTGTAACGGGTCTGACCTTTGGCGCTACCCCTCAACATTCGGGTCCGCTCGCTTCGCCCGCTGCTGCGGTCACGACAGGGACCTCGGCTGGTCCTGCCTGGCCCCCGCTCGACCTTCCGTAGCCAGTCCGGGCCGATCCATCCCAGCCCGAGCTGGTTCGCCGCTGTAGTTCACCCCCCCCCCCCCCTCCCCTCTCCGTTCTTCGGTGAGGTGACGGTCTCGCGCCGTGGATTTCACCATTCCCTGTCGGGCTTCGGCTGTTTTGCGACGCGCCACCCCGTCGGGGACATGCTTGTCAGAGTGCCTGCACAGCGAGTGTGGCCAGAGACGCCGAAACGTGGCCGGCGGCGCCGCTGCCCCCGGGCGATCACGTGACATCACGGCGCGTGCAGGCGGCCGGCCGCGGCCAGGAGTGACCCCGCTGACCCGTCGACGGCCGGCGGCACGATGCGGCGGCGTGACAGCGCCGGACCCGGGCTGTTCGGGCCGCACACGGTTTGTTTGTACGCGCGTCACGTGGCATGCGCGCACCGCATGCGACATGTGCGGTGGCGGACTCTGAGGAGGCGGCGTTGTCAGCGGGACGGGTCTGGGCCGGACATGACCCGGGAAGCGGCTCGGGACGAGGAAGTGCGACGCTGTTTTAATGACGGCGTGGCTTGCATTGCTCTCAGGGATGGATGCATTCAAATCTTTTTTCGGATCGAAATCTGCGGCAGTTGCAGTATGGTTGGTTCAGTTATTCGCCCACCATTCCGGCCTCTGCATTACGCTAGTCTCCGGCCAGGTCGTCTGGTATCACGGGCCTTTTAATCTCAACTGCGCTTTACTCACGACTGTCACTGGCACGTGACGCCAAACGTGATAAGTTGATCTCCCACACTGACGGATAAGCTTGTTGAAACCGATCTACATTTTCAAGATATGATTTCGAGTGCGTGGCTAGCAACATCTAAGACCATGAAAGTGCGGGTCGCCCTACGAAAAGCAGACAGATTTAAGTCATTGATGCTACAGGCATTGAATTGATTTTTAGCAATAAATGGTGCAATGATGTGAAGAGCATTCGCTGTTGTTTTGTATGTGACCACTGGGTTCTTCATGCCCATCTCAGCTTGTACAGTGTCGCACGCGCTCTATGTGGCCCCACGTTGCCGCCAGCGTTGTACCGCCCGATCTATGCAGCTCAGACACGTAGCTGGCTTCGACAAGAAACGAAATAGCACGGATATGTATTCCAGAAAAGCCACGTGGATTGTGCTGCCTTTTCCAATGAGGCCGCCTTTTCAGCAGAAAATCCGTCCGTTTGTTCTGGAACTCCGGGTGTAATAATTAATACTCATTATAGAATTATGCAATACGCTGGCCGATGACCATGATGCGGCCGTACTGATCCCCCCCCCCCCGTCCCCGCCAATGGGATCGTGGGGGGGGGGAGGGGACCACGGACAACAGATGCCACTGGGCCGACTTCAGCCCACCGTCCCCAACGTCGACAACACTCTGTGATCATAGTATGTCAGCATTAGGCTCGTGCCGATCCACATGGCCTTTGCTACCTGCCACTTTATCGCTTGGTATCCGCCGCCGGGCGTCGTGTAACGGTTAGTTCTATGGTGCGCTCGTCTGTATGCACGATTGATTTACTGTCGTTCCTGTTCGTGTGTTTCTGGCACGTATTGACTGCCTGGACCCGTCACCATCAGTCGACATTGGGGCTTTACGTCGAGCTCAGCTGCTGAGGCTGTGTGGCAGTCGAGTGCCTCACCCCCTGGCAGGAGGGGTGGGCACTGTTGCTCCCGTCGCCGATCCCCCCAGTCCCACCGTAGCGGCCGGGGACGGCCTGCCGTGGCGCGCGGCTCACCCAGCGGCCGCCGTTCGCAGATCATCCTGGAGAACTACGCCTTCCCCGGCCTGCTGATGGTGGGCACCGACTCGCACACGCCCAACGGCGGCGGCCTCGGCGGCCTCTGCATCGGCGTGGGCGGCGCCGACGCCGTCGACGTTATGGCCGACATCCCGTGGGAGCTCAAGTGTCCCAAGGTAGGCATGGTGCGGGCCGAGGCGCGCCGGGGCGGGGACCGCGGGGCTCACGTGGCCAGGGTCTGTACAGGGGGAGAGGCGGGGACTGCGGGGGCTCACGTGGCCAGGGTCTGTACATGGGAGAGGCGGGGACTGCGGGGGCTCACGTGGCTAGGGTCTGCACCGGAGGGAGATGCGGGGACTGCGGGGGCTCACGTGGCTAGGGTCTATAAAGGGAGAAAGGCGGGGACTGAGGGGTTCATGTGGCCAGGGTCGGCACAGGGGGAGAGGCAGAGACTGCGGGGGCTGCCGTGGCCAAGGTCGGCTAGGAGGGAGCGCTGATGCTCTTGGAACACACGAGGTAATGGGGGGTTAGCTCTTGCGATCGTTGGCGTTACGGAAGTGATGCATTGCTCCATGCATGTGATTGGCTTCCGTCGCCGCCAACTGCTCGCCGATTGGCTGGCTGACCTGTGAAGCGCCGCCCCACTGCATGTGATTGACCTTGTCGCCGCCGGTCGCTCGCAGATTGGCCGACCGACCTGTGACGCGCCGCCCCACTGCAGGTGATTGGCGTGCACTTGACGGGCGCGCTGTCTGGCTGGACGTCGCCAAAGGACATCATCCTGAAGGTGGCCGGGATCCTGACAGTGAAGGGCGGTACCGGAGCCATCGTCGAGTACTTCGGACCGGGCCTGGACTCAATCTCCTGCACCGGTACGGCATTCCGTCCGGACCGATCGGTACAAACCACGGCCAGCTGGTATGAGCGACCCGTAGAAACTCGTCCAATGGCCCCGACGGGCTTTCCTTGTATGATGTATGCAGACACGAGGGGTTAACGTGGTTTAGGGCTGTTTGCCTTTGAATGTGATACCAGCTGCCCAAGCGAGGACTTCGGGATGTAAGGGACGTGAAGGACGCCGGAAGCTCGTTTCCAGCCGATTTTCTCGACCCACGGTATGGCGTCGGCAATGTACTGGGCGGGAGTGCGTGGCCTGGTGCACTGAATCAAAGCTGGGGCAAACCCTCGGGGATGCCGCCTGCCCCGACGCCAGTAGGTCAGCGGAGGCGACGCTGCATTGCCTGGTGTTTTGATCGGTGTTGCCATGGTGATGACTGGCGCCCTTTGGGTGATGCAACTCTTGCCAGTATTAAGCTTGTTTATCCCTTGCATCCCCCTTGCATCCCCTTTGCATCTCCCTTGCATCCCTTGTCCAGAACAGTTGCAGCCTCTCTTTCTCGCTTGTTGCATCGATTGGTGCCGTGGAACATTTGCTGAACATCCGAGCGCCTCACAGCTCCAAAAGTCATGCTGATGTTACATGCCGCAATTCAGTGGTCTCGATCCCCCGCGCCGCCGGCCAGCCGACATCCATTTTCTTCATCCGGGGGGCGTGGCGCGCACCCGGCTGGCCATCCGCTGTCCCGATGCGCCGCCTCACGTGACGCCGGCGCCGGCCGCAGGCATGGCGACCATCTGCAACATGGGAGCTGAGATCGGCGCCACCACCTCGCTGTTCCCCTACAACCAGCGCATGCACGACTACCTGGCCGCTACCGGCCGCAAGGACATCGCCAACAGCGCCGACGACAACGCCGCCCTGCTGACGCCCGACGCCGGGGCGCCGTATGACCAGGTGCGACGGGCGGGGAGCGAGCCGGGCCGGCCGCCATTGGGAACGGGGCCGGCCGCCACCGGGCAGGACGGGGAACGAGCGGGGCCGGCCGCCACCGGGCAGGGCCGGAGACTAGGGCTGCTTATAATCGGGGTTGGCCGGGGCAGGGCAGGTGGTGCGGGGGCCATCGTGAAGTCCAGCTGCGTGGCGAGTACGGCACGGTATTGCGCCCTTGCGACGCCCCGCTCTGTTCCGTTCTGTCCCACCCGCTCTGGTCGCTTGTAGCGTTCTAGACATTCAGACGTGAACGCTGAGTAGTTCCTGCGTCTTTCCTGCTGGGTTAGCTGCGCACTACCACCGGAATATGCGAACAGTGCGTTGTTCTGACCGTGGCTGCCTCGCAGCCCCGTTCACGTGCTCGTGTGGGGGACATCGTTGGGGGGACCGCTCATGACGTCATCTGAGTGTCTCCTTGGTGACGTCAGACGCGCCGTCGGTTCTGAGTTACACCGGCAAGAGGTGCACAGCCGACAATGGCAGTGCTTAAGAGTGCACTCGAAATGGTTCTCTTCCTTCATTTGTGATGATGCCCTGAGCTGAACTGACCTGACTTGACCTGACCTGAGCTGTCGACGGCAGCTGATCGAGATCAACCTGTCGGAGCTGAAGCCGCACGTGAACGGACCGTTCACCCCCGACCTGGCCACGCCCATCGACCAGCTGGCCAGCACGGCCAAGGCCAACGGCTGGCCGCTCGAGGTCAAAGTCGGTGAGTCACGCGCCGGACCCCTGCGCGCTCGCAGGTGGCCGCTGGAGGGAGGGGCCGGCGGCTGGTGTGTGCCGGCGGGCCTCTGTCACGGTCGGTCGGTCGCCGCCTTCACGCGGTCGGAGGGGGTGGGAGGAGACGGTGGGAGGAGGAGGGAGCGCTGCGTCACGCACGGGATCCGCGGCTCTCCGCCGGTGTCACTGACAAAATCGACGCTGTGAAACTGACAAGATCCAAGCGGGGGCATTGGCTGGTCCACTGTGTGGCGCTGGCGACACCGGGACTGTGACACGCTGCGACACGCACACCTGTCGGCGGACCCGCTTCGGTGCCACGCTAACCGACCCCCTCCCCCGCCCCGCCCGCCTCGTGCACCAGGCCTGATCGGCTCGTGCACCAACTCGTCCTACGAGGACATGGGCCGGTGCGCGTCGCTGGCGCGCCAGGCGCTGGACCACGGCATCAAGGCCAAGTCGACGTTCAACGTCACGCCCGGCTCGGAGCAGATCCGCGCCACCATCGAGCGGGACGGCATCGTGAGTTGGGCGGGCCGCCGGCACTCGGATGGGTGCCGAGTGCCGAGTGTTGACACTCTGAGTGTCGCGCTGTGATGGGTGCTGAGTGCCGAGCGTTGACTCTCTGAGTGCCGCGCTCGGGTGCGATGTGATGACGAGAGACTCGGACGGCATGGCCAGAGGTCGGGGATCATCTCAGATCTGGTGATCTCAGGTCCCCAGCATCGACCTTGGGATGTTGACACTCGGGGTGCGGGGTAGGTCTTCGCGAGAAACTGGTGGTGTCTGTTGCCAGTAGAACCTTCATTAATGCAGTCGCCAAGAAACATATGTTTGTTTTGGGTAGCGTAACTGTGGTCGATTGCTATCGTTTGTAGCATTTGAGCGTGTTAAAGTGCGGGCGTTGGATGGAAAACGTCACCGAGCAGGAAGGTTATTCCGCTCTCACCTCCACTATCCCCGTTACCTGCCCATAATTTATATTATAGTTGCACAATATGGTAAAATGTGTTTCTTTTGTCTTACCTGTAATTTTCGCTCCCACGCCGCGTGTGGGGTGTCTGTGCGGCGGGCGTGTCCCCGCCGGGCGTTGACCCGCCCCCTCTCCCCTCCAGGCGGAGACGCTGCGGGAGTTCGGCGGCACGGTGCTGGCCAACGCGTGCGGCCCCTGCATCGGCCAGTGGGATCGCAAGGACGTCCAGAAGGGCGAGAAGAATACCATCGTGACGTCGTACAACAGGAACTTCACCGGTCAGCGACGCCGGCCGGGGGACGGCGACGGGAGACGGCTGGGCGCGGAGTGGGCGGGGCAGAGAGAGCGTGGGACAGAGGGAGGGCGGGACAGAGGGAGGGCGGGACAGAAGGAGGGCGGGACAGAAGGAGGGCGGGACAGAAGGAGGGCGGGACAGAAGGAGGGCGGGACAGAAGGAGGGCGGGACAGAAGGAGGGCGGGACAGAAGGAGGGCGGGACAGAAGGAGGGCGGGACAGAAGGAGAGCGGGACGGAAGGAGAGCGGGACAGAAGGAGAGAGAGAGAGAGAGAGAGAGAGAGAGAGAGAGAGAGAGAGAGAGAGAGAGAGAGAGAGAGAGAGAGAGAGAGAGAGAGAGAGAGAGAGAGAGAGAGAGAGAGAGAGAGAGAGAGAGAGAGAGAGAGGGGGGGGGGGGGCGGAGAGAGAGGGAGAGGGAGGGACGGAAAGAGAGGGAGAGAGGGACAGCTCAATACATATATATATATATATATATATATATATATATATATATATATATATATATATATATATACACCATATGACTAATGCCGTAATATATATTCCATTCTGTTTTAATCTGTCCTTGCCGTACTCTCCGCGCTGTGGCCCTTGACCCTGCTGTATTCTGACCGCGAACAGGCCGTAACGACGCCAACGCGGCCACCCACGCGTTCGTCACGTCGCCGGAGCTGACGACGGCGCTCTCGCTGGCCGGCACGCTGGAGTTCGACCCGACCCGGGACACGCTGACGGGCGCCGACGGCACCCAGTTCCGGCTGGAGGTGCCGCGCGGCGACGAGCTGCCCTCGCGCGGCTTCGACGCCGGCGAGGACACGTACCAGCACCCGCCGGCCGACGGCAGCGGCTCGGAGGTACGCACTGGCCGGAGGCGAGGCGAGGCGAGGCGAGGTGATCAAATGCTTGGTAATTGCTGGGGGGGGGGGGGGGGGGGGGAAGGGACCAGAGCTCGGTACACTTGAACCGTGTCCGTGTCGTTACTTTTCTTCTTTGCAACTAGTTGGTCCCTGTTACCCCTGCGGCAATTTCGGCCCATGCTGGTCCGTTCTGCCTCCATTTAACTCTTTATCCCCTCCCCTCCCCATCTGGTCCTTTCTGTCTTTTTGACCTCTCACCGACACATCTCATCTGACCCCGTCCGAACTGAGCGCGTTTAACTCTAGGGGCCCCTCTGACTCCGTCTGACACCTCTGGGGCCCCTCTGACTCCGCCTGACACCTCTAGGGGCCCCTCTGACTCCGCCTGACACCTCTAGGGGCCCCTCTGACTCCGTCTGACAGCTCTAGGGACCCCCTCTGACTTCGTCCGACACCTCTGGAGACCCCTCTGACTCCGTCTGACACCTCTGTGCAGGTAGCCGTAGACGCCAAGTCCCAGCGCCTGCAGCTGCTGGAGCCGTTCGCTCCCTGGGATGGCAAGGACATGGACGATATGACGATCCTGATCAAGGTGAAGGGAAAGTGCACCACCGACCACATCTCGGCTGCCGGCCCGTGGCTCAAATTCCGCGGCCACCTGGACAACATCTCCAACAACATGTTCCTCACGTGAGCAGCGCGCGGCGACGGGCCGGGACTTGCCGTGTGAGCGCCGGGCTGGGGAGGCGGACGGCGCTAGCTGCAACACGTTATCGAATGTGATGGAACGGATCTGACTGAAGCCGAACTCATTAATTGGAATTTGGATGTAGGGCTGGAACGAATTGACTGGCACAGTAAATCGATATGTTCGCACACTCCAATTGCCACGTTCGTGACGGCACGAATGCATTGACAAATTAGAGCCGAATTGTTTTGTTTTAAATCATTCGTTAGGTGAATATGAGCCGAAATTACATGACTGGTTCCATCCGTTCCGTTCCGTCCATTCCATTTTCTCCAAAATTACGTCACGAAGAATTATAACGTATTTTTTCAAACCAAAACACTGGTGCGCTATGAAGCCCCCAACCGTATTGTTCCCCTTGACTTTCGGCGTCAAGACGTTTCCATGGCGACCACTGCATCAATGATTCTTTGAACATCCCCACTCGGAGTCATTCCAGACAGCCCCACGGGTCCCGGCAGTGATAACCAGGGGATCCTCACAACAGCGGCTCCACGCTCGCCAGCGTGAATGTCAGCACGTGCCGTGCCAGTGGTCGTCGACCACGGGGGTGATGGAGCGCGTGCGCACGCTGCGGCGGTGACCGGCGCGTCTCGCCGCAGGGCGGTTAACGCCGACACGGGCGAGATGAACGCCGTCAAGAACCAGGTCACGGGCGAGGTGGGCGCCGTGCCGGCCACCGCCCGCGACTACAAGGCGCGCGGGGTCAGCTGGTGCGTGGTCGGCGACGAGAACTACGGCGAAGGTCAGTGCAAGGTCACGTCCGCCGCCGCAGGGCCCCGTGGCGACAGCTGGCCTGTGTCCGGTTGCGGCCGCGGACCTCTCCAGCGGCGAGCGGTTCGGAAAGAAAGCCACAGCTCAAGGCGTATTCTGTTAGGTAGTTTCTGCAGAGCTGCATGATCTAAAGCACATGACTAAATTTGTTTTATTTGTTGCTTTGTTCAAAACCATGACACGCGTTGAGCTGTCGCCGCGGTCAGCGAGAGAGTTGGCGTTGGGTTCGTTTTGCGGTGCATGTAATTGCTGCTGTCGACGTCTGGCTGCAGTCAGCTGCTAGTTAGCTGACTACCGCGAGCAGCCCTGACCGCCGCCCGATGACCGCGTGGCGCCAGCGGACGCACGCTCGCCAGACGCCGGGGCGTCGCCGCGCGCCGTGTTTGACGCTCGTCTGCCTGCGCCAGGTTCGTCGCGGGAGCACGCAGCGCTGGAGCCGCGCCACCTGGGCGGCCGCGCCATTATTGTCAAGTCGTTCGCGCGCATCCACGAGACGAACCTGAAGAAGCAGGGTGAGTACGCGTCCTGGTTGGACGGCGGGCGGACTCTGCGCCCGCTGCGCCGGGCGGACGCCGCCGGGCTCCACCGACGGGCTGGTGTCGGTTCTTCGGACCTTCGTCCTCGGCGGGTGGCACCGAACTCGTAGTACTAATCGGACACCGAGCTATGCTAAGGACTTTGTGTCCTGTGGTTGCTGTTCTGGTGTGGTTATGGACACATCTAGCTATTTTATGGGGAAGGTTTTGTGTCTGCAGTAGTATCGAGGCTGTTAACCAAACGCAGGCTAGTCCACCTGAACGGACGCATCATCTGGATCTTTCGATGTAAATCGTAGAAGCACTTTTGAAACACAGTTTCTACCAAACGCCGTTGAGTTGCTATTCTGTCATGCGCACTTGGACAGTGGTCAAAAGTTCACGACCCACTCGACAGCTGCAGCTGCATCGGCTTTCATTTCGAACCGATCACGTGACTCGGCTTAATAACGTCTCGAGGAGCGGCGTGTATCCCGTTATCGATAACGGAACGACAGCCACCAGTGCGTGCCTCTGTCGATTTACACACGGAGTGCGCTGGCGAAAACGTGCCTGTGCCTGTCCTGCTTCTGCGGCGGGGGTCTGCACAGCGCTGGGCCGACCCGATGCCGCTCGCTGTGCTGGCCCCTTGACCCGGCGACATCCACTGTACTGGCCCCGTGACCCGATGCCGCCATCTTTGCTGACCTCTTGACCCGGTGCCGCCTACTGTGCTGACCTCCTGACCCGGTGCCGCCCGCAGGCATGCTGCCGCTGACCTTCGCCAACGCCGCCGACTATGACAAGGTACAGACGACGGACAAGCTGTCCCTGAAGGGCCTCAGCAGCCTGGCGCCCGGCAAGGTAAGTCACCTGGTTACTCTGATCCTGGTTACCCTGGTTCCGCTAATCCTAACTCGAGCCTGCAGCGACAGGATTGGGTATTCGTTTCGTATTTCGCTCTTTTTCGTCCCTGGACGCGATCGTCACGGTACCCCTCCCCTCCCCCTCTACCTAATCCCCCCTAGATTGGCAGTGTCCAGACCTGCCTGCGAACCCAGCCAGTCGGCTGGGTTCGGCCGGTCTGCCCGGGGCTCGCCCCGGCCGGACGCGGAGAGAGGAGGAGGGAGGGCCGCCCGCTGACCCAGGCTGGGGCTTGCGTCGTGCGCCGGTGGTGAGCTGCGACAGATCGCCCGCGCGGTCGGCTGTCGGGTGTCAGGTGTCCAGGACTGTTGCGGCAAACGTCCTGCGCTTCCGCGGAGGTTCATGTCCGGTCCCCCCCCCCCCCACCCCCCACCCCATGGATTTGTCGTTGCAGCACGTTCCACCCTGACTAGACATTTATCATTATATATCAATTATTATAATTATATATTAATTATTTGTGTATTTATCATAGTTATATATTAATTATTTGTATGAAGTCGCTTTTAAATAACGTTCATGGGGACGGAAAGAATGCTGGACAGTCGCTGTCGTGCACCGGCGCCTGCAACCTACACAAAAAAAGCTGCTTAGAATCAGTAAATGGCTCAAAGTAACTCAAATGGCGCAAACGGTTATCATTTACGGTGGAAAATGAGAGGAAAGTGTCAGACCACCTTTTCGAAGCCACTTATTCAGCCCCGAAACCCCACGGAAAGAACTGCGTGTTTATCCGCCTGCCTAACACTCCGCCTGCGTGTAAAACGCTGTTCTATCGCATCATATTGTGTGGCGTCCTGCCCGGCTGTCCTAGCGTACTCAGTAGCTCTGTCCTCTTGCCATGCTCACCCTTCTTCATTCCCGTTGTTCTACGTCATAGCCCGCTCTGCCTGGGCCTTCCCCACCGTACATGTTGCCCGCCGGTCGTGAAAACCCAGGCCTACCTCATGCCGTACTGTACGCCATCCCAACCCTGGCGTCTCCATCCGCGCGCCGTCTCGGCTGACGCCGCCGCCGCTCGCCGCCAGCCGGTGGAATGCGTGCTGAAGCACGCCGACGGCAGCACCGACACCATCCAGCTGCTGCACTCGATGAACGCCCAGCAGATCGAGTGGTTCAGCGCCGGCTCGGCGCTCAACAGGATGCGGCAGAAGCGGCAGCAGTGAGCGGCCGGCGCTGGACGCTCCGTAGTGGGATGAGAGCCGCGCGGTGGGTGCGGACGCGCCGCTCCGGACCCGCGCTCGGGGGCCGACCGCCTGCCGCGGCCCGGGCCGGGGTGTTGATTAGTGACTGCAGTGTTACGCCGGCGCCGTGCAGGGGTGATTCGGGTGTTGCAGGGTGTGGTGGGGGCGAGCCCGACCCAGCTGCGCCCCGCCGCGGCCAGGCTGGGCGGAGCCAGTTCTCACGGCGGCGTTCGCGGCTGTGGTCCGGCGGCTGGCGGGCGGCGCGCGTGCCGGGCAGGCGTGCGTGGGCTTTGGTGTGGAAGTGGTGGAGGTGGGGGATCTGGTGGTGCTAGACGATAGACGCCGCTCGTAGTCGAATGGTCCGCCAACAACTGAACAGAGTCCTTGAGGCGGCGAGTTGGATGCCCGACGGTGCTGCCACCGCTGTAAGTGCAGTCTGTGCGGCCGGTTAGTAGGTGGCGCCGCCGTCGCGTGATGGTGGCCGGCGTCTGGGCTCAAGCCATCAGTATTGAATCTGGACGCGTGTTGGGAGCGTCGAGTGTGGGACGTTGTTTGACTGGTTTTGTCAGTCGGATAGAGGCTCGTGCAATTCACGGCACTGTATAAACGTGCACTGTACAGCGACCCAGCATGGTTGGCTGCGTGTTTGTGTGAATGTCCCCAATACATGTTTTTGAGAAGTGCCAGATGTGCCTAGGGCTCATACGGCACTTCTCCTTTATGTGGTGTTGGTCCTTACTGTGGTCTTCTGAAGGCAGCGCAGCGGCAAACTTCGACACCCCACAGCCCATGGCGTTCGCGATGCGGCCCGTGATGGCAGGGTGTCGCGAGCATTCGACACCCGGATATCTGGGATATCCGTGCCCCCCCCCCCCCCCCTCTAGTAAATGAATTTTTAAAAGAACGTCAGTCTTCGTGTGCGAAATTCCGGTCGAAACAGCATGCATCTACGTGCAGCGATGTCGGGATCCGCGTTTCCGGTAATAGCGCTAGCACGAGTCCGGGAAGATGTCCGCCGGTATCTGCCGTCGGATGGATGGCTTCAATAATTGGAGCACGCTTCTTTGTGTTATCCGCTGACTCGTACTGGTATTACCGGATTGTAAGGGAGCCTTTGAATGTGTAAAAGTTCGCATTGAAAAACATCGTTTACTGAAATGTTGTTGGCGATATCACGTACAAAATCTGTGGGACAGATGCACCACGGGAAAAAATTGCATGCGATGAAGACCCTTATAGCAGGTTTCCGTGGGTCACGCACCCTGTGGGATATAGGACGTATGGTCGATTTCGTATCGCGAGACCTCGCAGGAAGGCACGACTAAGAGCTCGCGCCGGGCCGACCAGCGATGGCGCCCCCAGTGGACGGAGCTGGAGGGGTGCCTGGTCGGAGATCGGCGCTGGCTGGAGCCATGGCCTCGAGCTTGACACGTCACCACGGAGGTATCCGCCCATTGGTGAAGCCTTGCCCGCCATTGCCATTGTGGAAATGCACGCCGCTCTGAATCCACTTTTCTCGACACAAGAACAGGAAGCATCATAGGGTGTAGTTTGCCACGGGGTCCGGCACCGGATTTGCCAGGGAGCGCTCACAAAGCCGGGCCGAGGATGGGTGCGTGACCCAAGCAAAGTGTGCGCAGTTTCACAACAAAGTGCCGAGTGTGCTTATCAGGTTTCGGCAACGGGATCCGGAGTTGAATGGGCAGGGGGCTGGGATACCCGGGACTGGATATGCAGCAGCGTCCAATGCTGGCGCCATCTTTGGAGACGTGCAGCCCCCTGGTTCAACCGCGTGCAGTAGCGCAAGCGCAGTTTTCGTCTTAAGGTCTTTCATCCTTTGCTAAAAAGCGAGGAGCTATTTTGAATCACAATGCGTACAGTTACATCTATCGATGACAGTGTTGCCCAGTGTTATCTTAGGCCAACACTTTTCGCACCCCCTAAATTTGTAGTAGGCTATAGGTCAGATACCTCCAACCTGGTTTAGATATCTTGCTTACAATCATTTGTAATACGGTCCTTACGCCGAGCGATATTTGCGACACGAGGTCTTTTGCTCACTATGATCTGCATGCAAAGATTTCCTACAACCCGTTGCGAGACGGTGTTAATGCATGCCGGCCTTTTTTAATTATTTGTTCTTATTTTTGTTCCCGATAGTCACTTATCAGCGATCTATGACAGCACAATGCAACGTACTCTTTTCTTGCGATCTTTCGTCCGCGAAACTTCTTCGTTTGATCATTTCCCGTACTGTCTTTTCCGCCGTAATCAAGGAGACCACAAAATACTCACTCCTGCGCTGTGTATTGCGCCGCGTCGCCACCTGACGTCGATCTTTCGTACTAACTCGCACACCCACACAGTGCACAAAAGCAACATCCAAACGGTTTCTACGCCAAGCTAACGCCAGACCGAGTCTTGGTTAATGATCGGCGTAGACATGTTCTGACAAATCAGCTCTGGCGGCATTCGGAAGTCGTCACGCATGTGACTATGACGTCACTGGGGTGACCCGCATCTTGCGATGAGGGCCACCACGTTGAGCCTCCCAACGCGGCCACATACCGGTCTCGGGACGTTCCGGAATCTGAAAAGAGCCAACTAACGTGAGATTAACGATCCGTACGGTCTCGTAGGTGCAAGCGAGGCCGGATGGAGACAAGATCCCAACAGCAGGAGGGGTACATCTGACACCTTATTAACAAACAAACGTGTCACCAGCACTTTTCTAATCGGCGTCAGTGGTGTGGGGCACAACGAACCTTTCCACAAAGTGCCCGGTACAAATTTTTTAGCGTGTCGGACGTCATGATCAACACATCACACGCCACATCATAGCAGCATTATTGCCATGCTAAAAGCGTTTTACTGCAAAACTGCGACTTTCGGTCGATGAAACTGTTACAAAACTGAAAAAAATGCATGTTTTCGCCATTGTTGAATGATGATCTACCCAGTTTGTGTGTTAATCCCCGCAGATACCCGAAACTTTACAAGGGAGTGTAGCGGCCAACCAGGTGATGCAAGCAATTTACATTCCTCTTGCTTGCCAACTCTTGGCACTTCCCAACATCCACCAGGTAGGATGCACAGAGCAATGAATTACCGAGTCAAAAATAGTTACTGATAATATACCATCAGCTTCTCGTTGAGAAGATACATCAATGATGTGACACTATGACAATAGCCGCCATTTCCCGTAGTGCTCATGTTCACCAGGCTCCGGCTTCTGACACCACAGCTGCTGTGTGTTTGTGTGCGTGTATGTACGTGTCACTGGGGCTTTACGACGCACTCAGCTGCAAAGACTATGAGATGCCCCCCCCCTCCCCCCCCCCCCGACTCCCACCCTGGCAGGAGGGCACACACAGAGCCGAGTCGATCGCCGTGTCCCTGGCCACACCCCAGCTAGCGCGCGCACATTAAGCGAAACGATCATGTGAAAGGCAGCGCCTCGCTCTCACCTATAAATCACTCTCCACCTGCCCGCAGTTCTCATGCGCGGCTTCCTTCGCCGCTGCCCTCCACCTGGTAGTACCACGCCCTCCGGTAGATGGCAGGCATGTCGGGTCTGACGTCACTGGAAGCCCTCTGCCGCTCCAGCTCCTGGTGGCGGCGGGGCGGAGCAAAACCGATCAGCGGACAACATCAAGCCGCGCTCAGCTGGTGACCGCCGCGCTCCAAACCGATCCGCAGTCCACCGCCGGCGGCAGCCGAAACTACAACCCTGTAACGTGACTCCGACTGACTCTGTCTGGCGTTAAACTGGAGAAGTCTCCGGCTGGAGTAATCGGAGAAGCATTCCAGCCGAGGAAAAAAGCACGGGAACATGACTGCATACAGCGCAGAAGACGTGCCGTTATGTTAAGAAGCACCCGCGCCGAGAGAAAACCAAGGGGTACATGATCGCATACCGCATGGAAGACGTGCCGTTATGTTGCCTACTGCGTACATCCGCCATAGAGGTTGCATGCACCACGCCCACTTCAGGTTCTTGGACCGACGCCTCGCCAGTGCGGTCACGTGAGACTCTTATTGCAGAGGCTTCGCATAATATTCCCCGTTAATCCTGACGCAGCCCACTCTGCCTTAGCCTCTTTTTACGTCAACCGTAATCACCATCTCACCATGAGTGCAAGACAACCAGCTAATGGCAAAATCCCCGCACGATGGCTCCCGTGGCCATGCCCGTGTCCGTGTCCGTGTCCGTGTCCGTGTCCGTGTCCGTGTCCGTATCCGTGTCCGTGTCCGTGTCGTGCCGTGCCGTGTCGTGTCGTGTCGTGTCGTGTCGTGTCGTGTCGTGTCGTGCCGTGCCGTGCCGTGCCGTGCCGTGCCGTGCCCGTGCCCGTGCCCGTGCCCGTGCCCGTGCCCGTGCCCGGACACGGGCAGTGCCCATGCCCGTGTCCGTGTCCGTGCCCGTGTCCGTGTCCGTATCCGTCCCCTGCCCGTGCCCGTGCCCGTGTCCGTGTCCGTGTCCGTGTCCGTGTCCATGTCCGTGTCCGTATCCGTCCCCTGCCCGTGCCGTCCCGCCGCCGCCTCTCACCAGCAGCAGCACCGGCTTGGGCACGGTGGCCGGCAGGACGCGCGTAGCGGCGGCGACGCGCTCCGGACTCAGTTGACAGAAGGCGGCCTCCTCCCGGCGCGGTACCAGCTGGTAGTCGGTGAGCGCCGTGGTGCGCCGCAGCACGCGCTCGCCGGGCAGTGCCACCCCGCGGTACACCTCCGTCACCGTCACGGATCCGCGCCGGTTCTCCTGTGGCAGCGGCCTGGCATCAGTCACATGTGGCAATGCTTGAGGGATGTCAAGCTCATCGGTAGGGGGCTCAAAGGTAGATTGATGGAAGTCAATCTGTGTGATTGCGTGTGCACCATTTTTGTGTTTGTGGTGTTCTCTAGCAGACAAACTGAAGATGAATCACATGCTACAAATGGCACAGTTTGCAAAAGGAGATACCACAGATGATATAAATAGTTAGACCATCATTATCATCAAGCAAATTAGTGCACACAGAATGTTTTGCTGTCCTGGCCACTGGGGTTTCACCACACAGTCAGCTGCTGAGGCTATTTGGTGCCACCTGCCTCTCACCCTGGCAGGAAGGGCAGGCACCACAGGGAATTGAACCTGGTACCTCTGGATTCTTAAACATCCAGTGCATATACAGACACATTGATGGTACAGAGCATATAGAATGGAACAGTACATTTTGCTTTGGTCATTGATTCCCTGACTTCCTTTGATGTGGTACTGCGCCCTGAAAAGGGCAACGCACCTATTACAGTAGTCAGTTCTAAGTCAGGTGCATCTAACAATCTCAGGCACACCCACCGGGTCCATTTCAGGCTGTGCGCTGATGATCTTCAACCAGGAACGCTCTGGGTATCTTCTGTTGGGCTTGGTGCGCATCACCACGCGGCCCACACCGAAGTCCTTCAGATTACACAACAACTCCCACAGGCTCTTGCCATACAGGTCATGGGTCCGCCCAATGAAGACTCGTGGCATGGCTCTGCAGGGGAGTCAGTGTGCTTCAGTCAGTGCTCATAGAGAGAAGGCATAGACCAGCACCTGCTGTTGGATGATGGAAGGGTGGAAGGTAGGGCAATGCATGCATCAACCGTCAGTTGGCAGAAGCTGATGTTTACTGGTATAAGCCTTTCTTTGGGCAATGACAATGCTTTCAAATGGTTAATCACCTTTTACAAGCTCAGCTGCAAGACAGAAGCTTCAAAATTTGTGAACATGAAAATCTAGGTTAAATTTATGCTGGGGTGACACAATGCAAGACATCCAACACTATAAACACTCTTAAAATGGCATTGCTCCATTACCTGAACTCCTGTTCAGCTGAAAAATACAGGGATCAATAGGCCAAGTGGCCTTTTAAATTAATGATCCCAACATGAGGTATTGTAAGGTCTGGTCTTTTAGACTTCCCTAAGGTTGCACTATTATCATGGTGCATCTCAGCACACATGCAATCGGGCCAATGTAACCATCATAGATCACAGTACCTCACAAACTTTTCAACTTTATGTGGAAAGGAATACAATTTAAATGATTCAGGAGTAAGGTTTTGTGGTCTGTACCTAGTTGGCTCCCGCCTGTCTCCTGTCCTCGAAATGGAAAGTACTCTCCCTCTCTTCCAGCAGTCCAGAGCCTGCCCTCACTCAATGATATTTCTGCGCGAGCCGCCCACTCTCGCGTTAGATATGCGTGACCCGCTTACCTCAAAGCTACGTCAAACTCACCAACCAACTCTTTAAACTGAAAATGCCGAATGGGATGAAACGAATATGCAGCCTGACTGCATTCATTGCCTTCTGTCGGACATGCGCAATAATTGTACACATGCTCGGAATTATATGGAATCCCGTGTGGCGTAGATACTACGCCGAACATTACTACTGGTCGCACTGTTTACGGTGACATTTCATTGAACATGGCTAGTAAAGCTAGCAGAAGCGACCAGAAATATGGTGTGACTATGCATGCAAATAATTATGTGCAATAGTCCACATCTGCGCCTTGTTTCAGCAGGTGTATCATCTGCATGGGGCCTGCGTCACGGTCTTGACCACTCGTGTGGTTTTGCGTTATATCTGAGGTCATATGAGGGCAAAAATGGGGTTCAATTTTTTGCTGATGCATGTTTTGTGGGCAGTGGCCTCAACACCGTTTTCTTAGGCACTCAAATGGACTTCGCGATGTCTTAATGCCACTCATTAGGTCCATTGAGGGTTCGCTGTCATTTTATCTGTCGAAACATGAAATGATCTCCAGTTTTCCAAAATTTAAGTTGGTTTAAGCCCTGCTAACTCCCTTGGCGATCATGCTCATCGGCACCAGCACATCTTTTGCGAGATAAGTCGCAAAATTTGCAGGCGCGGACAGAGCTGAAACACGCTGGTGACGTCAAGAGCTTCCATATATCACCTGTCGGGCCAGTGCATTCTATTTTTCAGCAGAGTAAATTTTTCAATGCATCCCAGCGCGGAGCGGAGGGGGCTGCGCGGCGTTTATGCATTTTTGAGCAGTGGGGTGACGTCTGGCGCGTATTTGACGCTTGGGTAGCAGCGGTGACAAGCCATGACATAGTTTTTTAAGATGTCAACGTGTTGCGAGCCAGTGGCTATGCCCTTCAGAATAATCAGTGGCTGGGCTCCGCGTGCACAGCCGCAGTCTATCTCGTCTGAGCTCCCGCTGTAGCCTGTAGACGCGTCGCCAAGACAGGCTATGAGTCGTGTTGTTGACCAGGAAAGGTTCTGAACAGCTCGCAGAATTTGGTTCCAGCTATGGATGACAATTCTAGCGAGGGCAATGAAGACTCCTGTGTAATCTGTTTCAAAGACATACAAATTTGCAGCATCATGGATTGTCAGCATACCATTTGCTATGAATGCTCAACGAGGCTTCGTGTTCTCTGTGACAAGCTCGGATGCCCTATATGTCGCCAAGAAACAACAATGGTGAGCATGCTTGCTATTTGTGTATGACATGGGCGGTGTTTTGAATGTTTCCCTAGGGAGGCACCATGATGATATGAAGGTATTTTTTGGTGTAATGCTCATTTTTGCACAGCATTAGGTCCTTGTGCAGCTGTAATGAAGGTATACAAAAAATTGACAAACAAAAATGTTTGATCATGAGCACTGCTCGGGACTTCCCCAGCCACGTCCTTGTTGGTAGGGAAGGGGGTGGGCAGGCTCATGTTAAATCATTAACTTGGCTAACAAAAGTTTGCACTAAATATGAACAGATATTTAAATTTAGATGCAGGAAATGCAGTTTGTGCTGACAGATCAGGTTCATGTAGATATGTACACTAATGACATGTTTCTGAACTTTTTTGTCACCTTACTTTGGTCCCATTATATTTCCTTGTCCATATATCATAGCTGTGGGTTTTGATTTAGCATGAGCCCCATCTGATACACACATGCAAGGAAATGACCCATAACTAAGCTTGTTTCACATTTGTGTGGGCATGGTTAGTTTCACTATATAATATGAAGTCAGCCTTGATCATGTTTCTGTGGAAGTGTTATGACAATGGGCCCAAATTGCAATGTTTAGATGAACTTCTTGTCTGTCATAGTGTTGACCCATTCATTGGCAGCCACAGCAAAGTCTGTACTGCTGCAGCTGCCCTGTTACACCACCCTCTCCCCCAGGCACTGTTCTCCAGCCAGCGTGGCTCATTCAAGAGCCTGTACCTGCACTCCTTGTACATTGATGAGCGCTACAAGCTGGCATTCAAGGATGGCCATGCACGCCAGGCATTTGACCGTCTTCTGGCACATGACTGCCCACGCTGCGCCAAAGCCCACCCATTTGGCACCTTCCGCCAACTGCAGGACCATGTTGGCAGGGAGCACGACCTCTTCTATTGTGACCTTTGTGTAGAACATCTCAAGGTCAGTGTGATTGTTGTGATAATCAGGTAGTTCCATGCAGATGCTGTATGTAGTTCAGAATGCTCTGTATGTCATATGTAGTTCAAAATCTGAGTTTGCTCATTGCCTTCATGTCTTTTTTATTAATGAACATGCAGCTGCCAGTACCAGTGGACCCATTTGTGTGACCATCTATATGACCTCCAACAGACTTATTCTGATCATCTGCCTGGCCATTCATCTGGCCATCCGCTCATCCTTCCACTCAACCATCCACCTGTCTGACCATCTACCTGACCGTCCACCTGGCTGATCATCTACCTGCCTGTCCACCCAGCTGGCCATCTATCTGACTGGCCACCTGACTGACAATCTACCTGACTGCCCACCTGCCTGACCACCCACCTGACCATCCACCTAACCACCTGCCTGACACTGCCGCAGCTCTTCAACAAGGAGCGCAAGCTGTACACGCGCGAGCGGCTGGAGGACCACAAGCGCCGGGGCGACGCCGACGACTCGTCTTACCGCGGCCACCCGCTATGTCAGCTCTGCGGTCAGAGGTCAGCCACCGGCGCTGCCGTCTGGTCAGCCCTGTTATGGTGGTCCCCCAACTCAGCGGGGGGGGGGGGGAGAGTTAGGACTGTGCTGGCCTCAGTTTTACACAGCTCGTGCAGGAAATGGCTGCGGGTTGGAGACGTGGGTCGGCCATTTGGTGCTGTGGTGTTGGTTTTCACTCAGGTGCTGACGGTGGGCGGTGACACGCCGCGCGTGCGGTGTCGCCAGCGGGTGATGACGCGCCGCGCGTGCGGTGTCGCCAGCGGGCGGCAATGCGCCGCGCGTGTGGTGTCACTGGCGGCGGTGACACGCCGCGCGTGTGGTGTCACTGGCAGGCGGTGACACGCCGCGCGTGCGGTGTCGCCAGCGGGTGATGACGCGCCGCGCGTGCGGTGTCGCCAGCGGGCGGCAATGCGCCGCGCGTGTGGTGTCACTGGCGGGCGGTGACATGCCGCGCGTGCGGTGTCGTCGGCGGGCGGTAACGCGCCGCGCGTGTGGTGTCACTGGCGGCGGTGACACGCCGCGCGTGTGGTGTCACTGGCAGGCAGTGACACGCCGCGCGTGCGGTGTCGTCGGCGGGCGGTGACACGCCATGCGTACGGTGTCGCCGGCGGGCGGTGACACGCCGCGCGCGCCGCAGGTACGTCGACACGGAGGAGCTGATGACCCACGCGCGCCGGGCCCATTTCTACTGCCACCTGTGCGACGCCGACGACCACCACCTGTTCTACCGGTGAGGCTCGCGGCCGGCGCCGCCCATACCGCGGCGCTCCGAAGCTATGCCTGCACCCGGACCTTGGCGGCCCATTTGTTGATTTCTCAACAGCTGACACTCAACATAAATGCGTGACTATGGCGTGTCATTCGTCGGGGAGATAACATAGCGAGTCAGAAATATCGGTAAGTGATAGGGGATAAAAATACACACGCATGCGTACACAAACAATATCAAACAGCTCTATTGCACAAGGGACGACTTGGCAGCGCGCTTCAAACCTGTCGGATCCAGTTGTCTCACGTCCACCGGCAATTGGCTCGTGAGGCAGACCGCTCGGTATGCGAAGGACCGCTGTCCTGCCGCCGTGCACAACGCCGGGGGCGCAGGTTCTGAGCCATGCGGGTCGAACGGTTAAGGTCCGCGCGTCGGCGTGTTTGTGAAGTAAACAGGTGGGATCTGCAGGTTCACCTCGCTCACTGGCTTTGTGCGCAGCGATAACAGGTTGCACGTCACACGTGTGGCGAGGCGGGACAAGGTGCCGGTCATTCTGCACGCGCGAGACACACGGTCATACCTTCGGTGACCAATAACTACTGTGGAAGCAAAGGTAGCTGCTTTTAGCAGTCTGATGTTAACAGCTGATCTCTGGCTGTCAACTAAAATGCAGTATCCCACGCGCGAGATGGCTAGACCCGCAAGGTGACTAAATCCTACACGATGATCGGTAGCACTCACTGTGGGAAGAAATTATCTGGTGGCAGAGACCGATCAAGTGGCCGATGCACTATTGGACTATATCAGTGACGTGTGCGCGCCAGCCCAGGCAGCAGTGAAATAACTCGCGGGTGTTCTGACTGCTGTCAAGGAGTTTGATATTGGACGCCTTTCGGATAGTGGCATTTTTATATTGTTACACTTGCGTTTTGAGACGAGGGCTTGGTTTGATACTAGCTTTTTATGCATCACTAGCGTTATTTTGTGAGTCGTCGATGGGTTGACGTGGCGTCTTAAGGCTGTTGCCTTCTCAGGAACTATCAGGAGCTGCAGGCGCATTTTCGTCGAGAGCACTTCCTTTGTGAGGAGGGCGAGTGTGCTGAGAAGAAGTTCATTGTCTTCAGGACCAGCATCGATCTGCAGGGTGGGTCGAGTTTCGTCACGCTCAGCTGGAATGTCGCATTGGTGCATGGATTGGTGGAACAGCGCAATTTCATGACATTCCAAATCAGCGAGGAGTGTTAACAGCGCATTTCGTTTTGATCAAGTAAACAGGATTTTGATAACACAGTAGTAATGGCATTTTTCCACGTAGAAAAACCAGGAGAATGAAGACGTAGAGTCTGATAACAGTTTCGATAAAGGCGTGTTGCTGAAATATCAACGCAATTATCCCTCTATTTTCCTGGTTTTTTTTTGCGAGGAATAAAGCTATCACTACTGTCTTATCTACCAGCACAATGCTCCTCGCAAATGTACTTACCCACTCTAACATAATTTTGCTCTATTTCTCTTTGCATTGGAGGTGGGGTTAACAAGTCCTTGTGCTAAGAATAAGAGGCTCCTTTGGTTGGGTTCGTGTGAGTCCGTGTGTCTAAGCGTACTAACAGACAGGCTCGGACACCGACCTCCCGTCAAAAACCCAGCACTAAGACGCAGACTTGCCCTGCCAGTGTCAGACAACGGCAGCCTTGCCCACTGCCAGTGTGCGCCTCCGTGTCGGCCTTCAGCGCGGCCGGGCGTCCGAGCAGAGCCGGCCGGGCCGGCGGCGCGCTCCCACCCGCCGTCGTCTGCCGCCAGCGCACCGGACGGCGGCGCACGCGGCGCACGCGGCCGGCCGCGGCGGCCGCGCCCACCGGCGGCCCGGCGCCGTGCTGACGCTCCAGTTCCGGGCGGCGCCCGTCGGCCGGCGGCGGCGCGCTGACCGGTACGTCAGCGCCGGTCAGCACAGCGTCGGCCAGCATCACTGGCCGGTGCCCGGGCAGCTTGCTGTCAAATTCGGAGCCCTGGCTTTGTGTGTATGTGTGTGTGTGGGGGGGGGGGGGGGAGGAGAGAAATGTGGTCGTTCTAGCGGGTCGTTATTGTATTATGATATAGTCGGCTGGCTTTCTGCTGTAACCGTGGGGGCGCACTAGGCATCGGGTCTGTTGTGATTAGTGAAGTCCCGGACAGTTGCATGAGCCGTGAACTTCGAGCACCGAGCACTGCCTGCTGCTGGGTCCTGCTGAACTCGTTCACTCCGTCGCGGTCTGACCAGCATAGCGAATGCGGTCCTACTGGGCCTGACGAACGAGCCGCCCTCCAGGGAGGAACCCTCCGATGCCGGCTCGCCGGTGTTCGAGGCGCGGTCGTCTCCGGAGCCGACCGACGCCGCTACCCGACCCGTCTTCTCAGCCATGAACGGAGCGCCGCCGGACGCGGAGAGGTCAGTCGAGGCCACGGCTGGGCTTGGCTCCGCTGTGGAGGCGGAGCGGCGCCCCCGTGAGGCTGAGCTCGCAGCAGTACGCTCCGGGCGGCATGGCCTCAAGCCTAGACGTTTGGCTGCTGGTTCGTTAGCTCCTGCGCCATGGACTGTTCGCCTTGTTCACGGCAGTGCCAACTGAGTTCTCCGGAATGTAAGGTTGCCTATGGGAAACTTTGAATGAGTGCTCTCCGCTGTAGAATTGAATCAACAGCAAAGAACCGTATTAAACAAGGAAGTCCTTATTAGACGGCGAATTTCATCACGTGAAGTAAACCTGGTGAAACCGACGCGGCGTTTCTCAAGCGTCTATTCTCAAGCTACACCGCGCGAATGTAGCGGGCCGACCAGGAACCGCCCCGCCGGCAGGACTGGCAGCCCGGCGAGTCCGGAGGCGGCAGCGGCGAGCCCGGCGGCGGCGCGTGCTGCCGGCGCCGCGCCGGAGTGGCCGGCGCTGGTCGGCCGACGCCCCGCCGCCTTCAGCGTGGACGTGCGGCGGCGGCCGGCGCGCGCCAACGTCTTCATCAGCGTGGGCCAGCGCGCGCCGGCCTCGCCGACGACCGCCCAGCCGCGCATATCGCAGGTGAGGCGCGCCGCCGGTGACGGTGGGTCCGCTCCACGCTGCATACTGCGGCTGCGGCTGCTGCGCTCTACCCCTCACCCCCTCCATCGCCCCTCAGCAGAACCACTCCCCCCGCCCCCCCCCCCCCCCGGCTTGCTGCCGACGTTGGCTGCTTAACTGCTCAACGATGATGGCTGGTGGGTTGCCCCGGAGTTTCGGTCTGTCCTGCCAAATGGAGCAGGGGCTGTGATCCTAAGTGGCGTGGACATTGCCTGCTACACTGGCCTGACGCACTGGCGAATCTGCAGAACCCCGTCCGCCAAGCCAGCGCGCTGGATTGCAGAGTCCAGCTAGCGGCGGGCTAGCTCGCGTCCCGTGTCTGCGTCGATGTGTAGTTGTCCCGAAATCACGCGAAACGATGCCTGCAGCGAGTGTGAGGACCGTGTGCTAGTGTATCGCGAGACATCGTCTCTGGGTGTCTGTAAGCTGACGGTCCTTCTCCGTTGAAAGCTTCGCCCATAAAGTGTAAGAGCCGCACTGAGCGCGCCTGGCTCGTGCAACACGCCCCCCGCGCACCTGCTCTGTATTAAGCTGTCGCCGTGCCAGCGTGCGGGCCGCGGACCGCAGAGAGCGCGACTGGGCGGTGCCGCGTGACCTGACTTGACCTGACCTGACCTGACCTGGCCTGGTGCGTGACTCGCCAGGTGTCCAGCTCGGGTAACATCACCATGCAGAGTCCGACGGCCGAGCAGCCGCCGCTCATCCGGGGAGGCCGGCTGGTCAACGACCTCGAGTCGCTGTACCGCCGCCCGGCGCCGCCGCCGTCGCCGCCGTCGTCGCCGCCGCCGCCGCAGCCGCCGTCGCCGCCGACGCCGCCGGTCGCCGAGGCCGACCGCTCGGCGGCGGACGACGTGGCGGCCGAGGTGGCGCGGCTGGCGGTGCAGCCCGGCCGTCAGCTGCGCTACGCCCAGCCCGAGCACTTCCGCGCGCGCAACGAGCGCCTGGTGCAGCTGGCGCGCGAGCTGCTGCGGTCCGAGGAGGCCTTGCGCGCCTTCCGGCTGGCGTCAGGTGAGAGCGTCCGGTGGGCGCTGGGACGCCTCTTGGAAATTGCGTCGCGGGCGCCGCGTTTCTCAGGGAGCTTAACGTCGTTTTGGCCGCTGATCTGGCGGCGCGCCGCGCCGGACTGGTGCGTGACGTCTCGCCCGGCGCCTGAGGATAGTGCCGGCGTCGGTGCCAACTGATCGTCTCGTAGCTGGGTGATCCGGCGCGCTAGCGCGTGTGTGTGTCGCCCGAGCGTGGAGACGTGACGTCGGCCGCGGCGGACCGGCGCCCCTCTTACGGCCGCCCCCCCCCCCCCCTCCCCCGCAGCGGAGTTCCATGGCGGAGGGCTGAGCGGCCCGGCCTATTACGCCCGCTGCCAGGAGCTGCTGGGTCCGGAGAGGCTCGGCCGGCTGCTGCCAGAGCTGCTGGCGCTGCTGCCCGACATCCAGAAGCAGACGGTCAGTCCCGCACTGCCGCCGGTGGGGTGCGCTCGCGTCTCGCGAGAAAGTGCCCGCCAGTGGACTCGAACCCGCCTCGCTCCGGTCGCGGGTGGAAGGTCTAACTCGGCGGCGGACAGGAACGCGCGAATATTGCGTTTGTGCATGAGTGACAGAGTTTAGGATCCATGTGAAGAGCAGTGGAGCCTCTTGCGTCTCACTGACTGTACACGAGCAAGGTCAAATCGTACTCGGTGATCTCGGCAGTGACGTGCAAGAACCGGGACTGTAGGGTTCACGTGGCAATGTCTGGTGCTCTATGGCGTGATGCAGCGCCCTCCACCCTCGGCCCAGAATGTGACACGCCTTCTGAGCTACCTCGACGTCGTAGATACTGCCGCGCGCGGCGGCCGGCGCGATGGCGGTGCTGCACTCCAAGGGTGGGGATGCGTAGGGGACAATGTTTGCCTCCCCTGCTGTCCGCGCACACGAGCAGCGCTGCTTGTAACGTCCCAACACGCCACCCCGGCGGCGGTGCGTGGCCGCTGATGGGCTGTCTCTGCCCGCAGGAGCTGCTGGCCGCGCACGAGCGGCTCAACAGCAACGGCCTGCACCGGCACAGGTTCATCCCGTGCCCGACGTGCGGCCAGGTGCTGGTGTTCGCCGACCTGGCGCACCACTCGGCGCTGCACTGCCAGAACGACGAGTTCCCGCCGGCACCGGCGCTGGCGCCGGCCGAGCTGCGCTGAGACGCGGGGCGCTCGGCGACCCTCCCCTGCCCAGCTTACCGCCGGGTGTCCCTGTTCTGCCCGGCCGACCGCCGGGTGTGCCTCTCCTGCCCGGCCGACCGCCGGGTGTGCCTCCCCTGCCCGGCCGACCGCCGGGTGTCCCTGTCCTCCTCGGCCGATTGGTGGGCGTCCCTTCCCTGCCCAGCTGACCGCCGGGTATCCTTCTCCTGCCCGGCCGACCGCCGGGTGTCCCTCTCCCGCCCGGCCCACCTCTCGGCGTCCCTCCCCCACCCGGCCGACCGCCGGGTGTGCCTCTCCTGCCCGGGTGACCGCCGGATGTCCCTCTCCCGCCCGACTGACCGCCAGCCGCCGGACCTGGTCGGCTGCATCCCGGTCTCGTTGTAGGATTTTTTCTGTTGTGCGTCGCTGTCGCCTCGGACAGTTGGTTGTCTTTGGATAGTTTGTTTTAACGTAGGTGTTGCGTTCGCGGGTAGCCGCTGTTTTGGTTTCGTTCGTAGCATGTTTTTGTGTGTTCGTCGGAACGCTGGTCATCGTTTCGCCCTTAGGTTTGAAGGCTTGTCAGGTCGAGGCCCCGTGGTCTCACACGAGGTCGTTCTGTTTCTGGCGCGAGTGTGTCGCGCGCTAGTGGTCGGCTGGTCCGCCCTGGCCCGGCGTTCGCTTCAGCCACGCGGGAGTGGTGTCGAACGAGCCTCGCGCGTCGTCGTACTGCCGGCCCGGTGCCGGCGCGCGCCGTGGTGCGCCTCGCTCGTGCGCCGCCTGCGTGCCGGCGCCGCCGGCGAGCTGGCTCGGACGCCGGCCGCCAACGAGTACAATCTGTGCATATTGAGGTCTAGTCTGCGCCTGGTACAGGAGCGAATGTGAGCTGTGTTTTAAGTCTGTGTTTTCTGAGGTGTGAAGAGCGCCCGAGGCAGGAGCGGCAATTCTTTTTGAATAATTCGTCTTGGAATAGTCTGCTGCGTTTGCCGCCGCCGCCTGCTGCGGTTGACGGCGGCGGCCCGCAGCGCGGTCTGACCGACCCCCGGCCGCTGATGACACGTGATCACGACTCGGCCTCGTTCCGAGCGGTGGCCGTAAGCGCGCGCGTACGGCGCCTCTGGGGCAGGCGGCAGTGGGCACTCGCGGGCGTCCGTTCAGACACAGACAGCTGTGCAGTGTCCGTGGCAAGGAGCCGATGGCTTGACCGAGGCCTCTGATCAGGGAACTGAGGAGTCGTATAGATATTCGAATCATTTGGCCCATTTTGGTCTGACCTCTACGGCAGGGAATGTTTCCATTCGCCCCTCTGTCCTCATTCTCACTTGATCCCGCATCCTCGCGACGCCCCGTTTGTCCGAGGCAAGTCGCATGCACCAGCCATGAGTAGACTAAGCACCTCCTGGTGGAGGCTAGGTCCGAGCGCCGAGCGCGAACCCCGTACAGCGGTCCCTGCGCGAGCAAGTCTCGGCGGATCTATCCCTGCGCACGAGTAGATTTTCTCCACCATAGTTTTAATCTCCTTCATCCCATGACCCTGAAGTGGTCATTACTGACCGAAAGGGCTGCAATCCAGACAAACCAAATGGAATATTTCACAGTCATGTGGGGTTTGGAACTGGGATCCCCAGATTGTAGTACGCGGTGATGTGTGCGTTGTCGGAGCTTTACGGCGCACTCATCTGTTGGAATTATATGGCGTTGCCTGCCTCAAGCTGGCAGGAATGGCGGGCATCGCGGGGAATCGAACCCGGTTGAGTGGTGGTTAACGCCGACTATCACCATCTATCTATCTAGAGACTATCGCAGACTATCGCAGTCACCACGCTATCGGCACCCTGCTAAAAGGGGATATTTCCGTTAGCCGTGAAGGCTAAACCGGGGTCGGGATATCTTGGTTATGCTACAGTGCATCATTTCATGGGTTGCATTATGCCTGAACTGACTACAGGATGCTATCAGTAGTGGCGACATACATTGTGAGTTCACACGCGCGACTCAACCGTTACTCAGAGCCAAATGCACACGACGCGATATTACTCAAAGCCAGGCACACTCGCGATATAACGTTACTCAGAGCCAGGCACACGCGGCGCGACGTTACTCAGAGCCGGACACACGCGACACAACGTTACTCAGAGCCGGACACACGTGGCACAACGTTACACAGGGCCGGACACACACGACACAACGTTACTCAGCTGGACACACGCAACACAACGCTACTCAGCCGGGCACACGCAACATAAGGTTGCTCGGAGCCGGACAAACGCAACACAACGTTACTCAGCCGGACACACGCGTGACGCGTCACTCAGAGCCGGACGCGGCCACATCTCGACAGCGCAATGCGTTAAGTCACTGGCCTATGTCTGAAAAGCTGTGAACTACGCGCGAACTGAGCGTTCCCTGCCAGCGTGACTCGGCAACAGCGGCGGGACGTTTAGCGCTCACCTACACTGATCGATGTATGTCGTCGGTTGTCTTCTCCTGCTCATTTGACGGGTTCTGTTGACAGCAGCTGCACATGGTTTATAACATACTTATGAAAACATGTGCTACAGTACTCCACGCTAGCAGGTACTATAAAAGATGATATTCGCTTGGTTGGGTGCGTGAAGCCGAGTTCCCATCCCTTTCATCCATGCTTTACATGACGCTGCATTGTCAATTATCGCGAACTTCTGATGAAAATTTATGAAACCAGTTGTGTTTGGTTAGGACAGGCAAATTATGTTGAGGATGCTTCTTGCGCAACTTTGCGCACTTCTCAGAATTGAAGATGGCGGCCGCTGCTATCTTGAATGTTGGTCAAGTTTCAAAGTTTTATGTCGACGATTTGGAGGTTCTTGTGATGCCTTTCTCAGGGATTTTCAATGGCAGGCGCCCACCTACGTAGCTATTCTTAACACACGCTTGGTTGGGGTGGGGGCTGCTGCACTTGTTGAGGGTACAGCATTCAGGCTGCGTTCACAGCAGCTGGGACCTCCCACTTCAACAGAGAAGCCTTCCGTGAGTACACATCCCTCAGATGTGACCGACCGGCAGATGTGACCGACAGGCCGTTACGGGATGCCTTGGCGCCGGACCAAGTGGCGCTCTGCATTGAGTAGGCGCCACAGGCGCAGGATCAGGTAGCCCCATGTTCAACCAGATAGCGTTATAATGGTCGTGTTGCGAACGTCACTTGAAACACTGATATATGAAAGCCTGAATTTTGCCTGCCATACTGGACTACGCCCAATGTCGTATTGAGATGTCCGTCCCGAACTTCACGAACCTGCTCTGAGGGGACTGTGAGCAGGAGGGAAAATAATAAGGGCTATATAAGAAGGTAGGATAGAGCTGTTGGTACCAGGAAACCCTGGAGCTCGGCCCCCAAAATGCCTCACTCGCCGTACATGGTGGGAGAATACACTGTTACTTGCCGCATACAACGGTTTTTCCAGCACGTGATGGCTGGTGAACAAAGTCTGACATACTTGTTTATAGTAGCACAAAAGCAAGCTAAACGCACACAAAATCTGAAAAGTGGGTGAACCATTTAACATTGCTGCCCCCTCCCCCTCCCCACCTTGAAGAGGTAAGAAACAGGTGGACCTATGGCGTCGTTGCATCTGTCCCCCTTGGACCCCCGCCTGTTACCACTTCTAATGAAAGAACCCATGAAATACAACTATCATAAAGCGGATCCCGCTGCTACGGCAGCATAGCACACCTGGTGCTCCGACGGGTTTGAGGTGTTAGAGTCGCTGCAGGGTGTGACAACACAAGAACACATGGACATCCGACATTTACAGTGGCAGCAAGAACAGTTTCCTTGGCGCTCTTTAAATGCGCATTGCTATCCAAATGCTACTACTATTCAAATGCGTACTCCAACGGCATTACAAATCTAGACAGCAACGTTTGACAGCTGGACAGTGGCTGATTTTTGTACCTCAAGTGCTGATTGCGAGTCATTTGTTGTACCGCTTTGGTGCGCTTCATCAGCTTGACTTGAATGGGGAGTTAGGTCGGGATGCATCAATTGCAAGCTGTTGTTCCGACGGAATTAAAACCAGCGTTTGGTCATGTTCCCGGCCATTGATGTTAGATGATGCATATGACATGCTTGGCCTACTCGTGCGCAACATACCCGGAGATAAAGTTGCTGGTAAAACAGCGTTGTATTCCTAAAACTCTCAGCCCTCCATCACTGATAGTTAATTTAAAAGTCTTCTGTTTCAATATCCGCAACTGGAATAGGAGAACAAGAGCGACCGATGCTAGCTGTCAGCGTTTTAAAATGTTCTTTAAAAAGTAACTCGGAAGTTCTGTTTAGGTGGCATATGATGAGGGAGAAACCGCCGTCGGCGGTCCGCTGATGAATTTTGAGCGACCACCTTTTAGGCTGTAGACGCTCCTGTTTCTGGTGAATAATTAAACTCATTAACCCCATAAGCCTAAAGCAAACGCCCAAGTTGGGCCATTTCGACCTGTGATCAGCTGTACCAACTGCCATATCAGACGCGACTGCTCTCGCTTGCGTCGACGGCTCCATACCCATGTGACGGCGATCCTCGAGCTATCTTTCGAGCTTACGACCCATTCAAAACGGAACGATGCCTTATAACAGAATGCGCCATTTGCAACCGTCGTAAAACCATTGCCATTCACATTCTACATTACATGACACATAGTATGCACGCATGATGTAAACCGGTGGTGGGACTGAAATGCGATCACTTGACACGAAATGGTACACTAAGCGATCCTTTAGCGATGTCTAGCTTTGTGAGGCACATGCTTGACTCAGCCGTGAAAATCCTGGACAGCAGTATGGCCGAAAGCACCATAAACACATACAAATGAGCCCGGTTCGCGCTTTGTCGCCTAATCCCCGACGTCCCTGGAGTCGTCCGTCACGCTGTCCGAAGCTGAAACGTCCGCGGGCTCCTCTTTCACAGGGCTCAGTGTTTTCCTCCTGGGCCTGCTGCGGTACGGGGCGACTGAGTGCCTCGCGACTGCCGCCCTTGTGCCGTACCCTCTGGCCGGGGAGGCCACTGACGACCGGTACGCTCGCTCCTCGGGGATGGCGCTGGGAGCTGCGGACTCGAGCCGTAGCAGCTGCTGCTGGAGCTCTTCCAGCTGCGCGGGGTCCGTCGGCACCGCCACCTGGCTCGAGCGCTTCCGGTCGGGGTCCGTTTCGGACTCCTTCGACTGCGGAGGACTGGTGGAGTCCACCGATTGGCGGAGAGACCCTTGACCCGCCTGTTCAAATATGCTTGGTAGGCGCTCCTTTGATGCTGGAGCCGCCAGCTGGTCCTCTGCCTCATCCTGCTCTGGCTTCTCTGGTGCTTCTCGGTGCTTGGTGTTTGTGCTCGGTGCTTGGTCGTCCTGGGACGATCCATCGGTCTCCGGCTGGGTGGCTGCGGCGACCTGTTCCGGCACGTCCAACGTGACTCGACGTCCAGCCTTCGTATCCGGCGCCGTCTCCTGTCGGGATGCGGTCTCAGTCTCCTCGACGGATCCTGACTCCTCTTGCGAATGCGGCAGCGACGACACCCGTCTCGAGCGGCGACGTGAAGAGCGCCTGCGCCCCTTTGACCTCCGTCGCTTTTTCGGGGCGCTGCTGGGCTTGGTGACCTCAGCGTCTGTGACTGGAGGTGTGTTTGTCGTCGCGAGGGTCGATTTAGCAAGATGTGGCTTCTCGCCAGAATTGTCCACGGAGGCGGAACGCCTTCGCGCGGCCGAGATGCTGCTGCGGTCTGGGGCCACCGAGCCGCTGCTGTTCGCAGTCAGCGCCTGGGCCAATGTATGCATCGCGCTGGGTCTCACTTCTATCCCGGGGAAGACGGAATGCCTGCTGCTGCCGTGCTGGGCACTCGG